TGATAAAATTAACCCATCTGAAACTCCTCCCAATTTTAGCCAATCGTTTAAGTTCCTCTAGATACTCGATCGACATTTTCCTTGAGGCGTTTGTCAAAGCCACTTGAAAATTACAGAACTGCCATGCCAAAATCGGTGCAATGAACAAATAAACTAAAAAAACTAGTTGATGTTCATTAATACCAATTATGCTTCATTTGATCCTCCATGCAAAGCACCTTATTTTGATAAATGGCAACTAAATACCACAACTTCGCGGAGATTCATCTAACATGTGTGAGGAATCACACATATGCTTCAAATTTATAATATACTTTTAATTTCAGAGACAAATGCACATTTTTCGCTCTTCTTCAAATACTTTCCGAGCTCTTCACATGCTGAAACGTGAAGTTTCATTCATAATAATGAGAACTAATACTTTAGCGCAGAATATAGATGAAAGCGGAGGCCTTCTATCAAGCTCTATTGAATAATTTAGATATGCATCAAAATAAGAACTGAGATAACGTTAGCTATCATTTATGAAAAAAATAAGAAAAAACACTGATGCCTATCCCATACACACACACACACACCAAAACAAACAAAAAACAACCCAAAGTTAAAAAGAAACCAAAAACTTGTATAAACGTACATATGTATCATGATGCATGTCTTTGTGCCCCATCTCCTACTTTTGAATTCCAATAGCATAATGGTCATTCATACTACGTGTTCCTATGGGTCCTCTCCATACAACAAATAAACAATACTATATATAAAACCGAATGTTATATTCTCTACGAAACCCATATTACTTCAAATGAATGCGAGGCTCAAATTGTCAAATTTTGTAAAAAGAGTATAGGTAACAATCCAAATAGTTTTGTCTAAAAAGATCAAAGCAGTTGTACTTATTTTATATGAAAATATATCAGCTTTCAATTTTGAATGTTCAAACGTCAAATTTCATGTGTTGTCTACCTTTCTATGGACACTGGTATATCTGCGGCAATGACCTGCTATGATCAAAGTAGCTTCAGATAAACTGTGGGACAGGAGTAATACTATATATCCAAGCAACGAATTGAAGCAGTGCAAACGCTGAAATTGCTAGTTGAATATTCTTTTTTCTTTCAAACCGATTAATCGAAAGAAAACTCAACCTGAAGAAACACGGAAAAGTCGGTAACAAAAGCAAACGTTTTACTACCACATCCAAAGAATAACTAACTGCTTGATTTCAAAAAGTTCCATCAAACTGCTGGTACATATTCACTGCAGGATAGAGGTTAGCTGCTGGTCGATGGAATCCTTTCGCGAATGAAGACTTGAAAACGTCTTTGCAGATGTTGATGCGGTAAATCCACTGTTAACGAGTATTAAATCTGCCATGCCTGCGGGTATGATTAGTAAAGGCTTCATATAAGAACGAGGAATGAAGAGAGGGTACTTCTGTTAAGTGCACACTAAGTTAAAAGAGTATATACTACTTAAAAAATGAATGCAGGTAAAACGAACCAGTAGTTGCCTCTTCAAGAAAGTCAATTGGTTTGTGATATCACACAACCTCCTTATAAAATTTGTATGTTGTGCAAGCAATAAATCAGGAAAATGACAGTAGAATGATCACCAGGAAAGAGAAAGAGAATTTATTGACATATTTATCACAGTTCAAAAAAATCCAACTGTTGATCAAAATCAGGACACTCTTTTGGTTACAGCGGTGACAACATCATAGCGGCTATTCTGGTTGTGAAACAAAAGAAAACATTAGGAAAGAAAACAGATCGGGTCGTTGTGTTTTCTTCCTTTTTTAGTTTCAAATACAATTATTTATTTTATACATAACTTACAGACTGTTGATCCTTTAAGTTTCATAAGAGGAATGACTACAGAGACCTGCAGGTCTGCTAGTAAAATGTCAAACGAGGACCAAAAGAGAAGTACGTACGCAAACTGCAACAAATATACAACGAAGACATACACACACTGCATGGAAGCGATATGTCGAGGCGGGAAATCACCATACACTGTAACTGGAAAAGGGCCTGAACAGCAGAAAGGATATTTGGAATTACATAACTTATATGCAAGTGTAAGAAGCAGGTTATAAAGATAAGCTCAGTTCAAGAAAGGAACTAGTTATAGGCATGTGAAAATTAGTTCTGTCCTACTTTGGAGAGAAGATAAATTATTAAATTTATCGGACTTAAAAAATGGAATCGGATAGATACACATGCATTTGTCTTAGTATAAGATATGCAATGATATTCTTATAAACACCGGTTAGCAATTGTTGGAAATTGTGGTTAAATCTGGAATGAAACAGAGAAATTTTGATGTGCTGTAATTTTAAACTTTTTCGGTTCACTGTTGTGCGTTTGTGAAACGTTGGGTTTAAAACAATATTTGGCTTACTCCGGTGTAAGGATCCCAAGGCTAAACTGCTTCCAGGAACAGCAGTACAGGTGTGCACCAACCTAGTACTGTTAAGATCTCTTCGATCTATAAGACCTTTCGGTCAAGGTAAAGATCTCATCGATCTCAGAACCTTTCGGTTCAAAACATTTCGGTTTCAGGACAAGTTCCTGCGGGCACAGTTTCTACAGCAGCAGCACAACAGCAACAACGTCAAGATATCCTTGATCCGACGTTCGTATTTCAAATTCGCACTAAGAGCTGCCCAAGGAGCGCTATTTATAGGCCTCTAAGGCCAAGCTCAAGAGTTACCCTCAATTAATGTGGCTGTTACAAATCATAATGGCAATTATAATTGTAACAACAATCCATTAAATTGATGTAAATGTTGTTGTAACTGCTGCATGCAATAACTCCTGAATACGAGACAATCAATGGACATGTTACTACGAAACGCGAGGGTCATGTCTAAGCAAATCAGACGAACATCGTCTGTAGGACATAGTGGGGTTATGGTTCCTAATCTAGGGTTGCATTCTCTATTCTCTTAATCCCCATCTAAAGAGATTCTAAAGGAGAGACTCTCAAGATTAGAAGATCAAACCCTAATTCAGATTCGTGAATATTCTTCATGGATTCAGGTATTGCTTCCGCTCTCTGTTGTGTTTATTCTCTTTGAATTAATCATGGTTTTATGGATTAGATCTCAGTTTTAGATCTAACATTTGTTAGTTCTAGAGCATGTTAATCAATATTTTTTTATAAAGCATAGATGAAGTCTATATAATTTTTTCATAAACAAAAGTCTATATAATTATATAAAGTTTAATTAATCAAATCAAGATACAAATAAAAAATAGTTAATCAGAACTAAAATCTAAGAAGGGTTGTGGTCGTAAAATATAGTTCAAATGGTAAATGATTCGAGGTTGATTATAGATAGTCCCCAATTCAGATTTTAGCACTATTCATCTCAAAAAATGTAGTCACTTCTGTTAAATAAAACTTTACTCCTTTCATTGAATTGATTTCCACAAACAAATACATAAAAGTTTTAAGCAATAATTTTCTTTGAGTTACATGCAAAAGAATGCTATTATCAATATTGAATTAATTTTGATAAAATTGTTCTTTAAGCATGTGTGTTATACACGTACTTGTGATCTAGTACTGTTATATAAACATAGTGGGGGTAGTAAAAATTGGATGAATGGTGGACACTTTCCTCCTTCCTATTATAATTTGGAGGGTAAAATGATAATTTTATAAGAGATATTTTTTTACCTTTACTTTCTTTTCATTCTTATTTCTAGAAGATTCTAAATCATGACACGTGAATACAAATTAAACTCACATAATTAAGATTCTAATTTTTCAAAAGAAACATTTATATTCCATCTTTTCGTTTCTTTTTTTCTTTTTTATTTCTATAACATTCTAAATCATGAAATGATAAAGCACACAATTAAATTGCAATATCGCCGTTTTTCTTTTTTTATTTTAATCACTTACTCTAATTATATTATCCTCGATTAGAAAACTACTCCACAAAATTGTGTTAAGGATAGATTTAATTATTAAATAACAGTTTAAGATATATTTTCTATGCAGCTCTACAATAAAATTGCATAAATTAAATCATCATCAAACGATTAAATAAAAATATAAAACTAAATATATTTTTAAACTTGCATCGCATCGTGCCAATGTGCTAGTTATTATAATAAATTGTTATAGTTCGTCATCAACTCTTTTTTTTTCCTTATATTTGATGACGTCCAAATGCTCATATTTCAAATTTACATCCCAAAATCTATTTAGTTATTTTATATAATAGTAAAAAATTGACCCAAATACCATTTATTTTCATTGTAATTATACGTACTGTATGGATCAATGTAGATCAGCTAGAATTACTTATTTCATTATAATAATTAATGAATACACAGTACAGAACTGAAGCTAAAAAGTTATGAAGGTTGGTTTTCATCAAAATCTCGTTCACCTACAAAGTGGGGGTTGATATTTGATGATACTAACAATTTGGAGGTTCCAATATGGTTCCCATATTTTTTAATTCGGTCCGGGCTACTTATCTATGCTGGACTAAATTAAGATGAAACGCATGCCCCGAAGTAGCATTGTAAAAAGGTGAAACCTACGGCCCGAGATTTACGTTTGGGAGGAGCTCGATTTCGGGATTGCTCATTAGAACCCGAGTGCTCTAAGCGAGGGGCCCCTGGTTACCCGGGAAAAAGAATAGGGGTCGTTGACCAAAAAATGATGCCCCCCGCCGGGTCCAACTATTCACACTCCCAAACAGTAACTTTAGGCTGTGTGAGGACTAAATTGCCTTTCTCCCAAACCAAAACAGGCCAAGTCCATTCCAGAAACACCCTCAACATCAAAAGGGCATTTTCGACAATACAACTCCCAAAATTACTGTTTGAGAGTGGATATAGCAAACATGCCCCCCGCCCGTGCATCACTTTTGAAGTTGAACGCCATTAATTAGCTAGATTGTCAGGCGTCTATATGCAAAAATCCCAAACCCCCGAAAACCGACCACAAACTGCTAACTTCTCCCTCGTTTTAAAAAGATCTCTTTTTGTTACCTCCGCTCTCGTTCACAAGCTGCAGCTTCGCTCTCGATGGCCGCTCTCGTCTCCTCGTCAATCCCCTCTCTCTTCTCCCTAAACCCTAGAAATCACAAAAGCAAACCCCTCCATTTTTTCTTCTTAAATCCTAACCCTAATCTCAACAATCCTCATCGCCTCTCCTTCACCCCTCGAAACCCTAGCTCCTCCCCGCTCACCATCCTAACCCCTAGAAAACTCAGAGCCAACACAGACGAGTGGGGTGAGAAATCGGATCCTGAACCCGAACCCGCATCCAAACCCGATCCGCCGAAGGAAGACGACGAATGGGACAAGGACTCGTCGCCGTCAGCCAAGATCACCGACAAATGGGGCGAGAAATCGGATCCGGATCCAGAGGCGGCATCGGAACCCGATCCTCCGAGGGATGAGGATGAGTGGGGGAAGGAAGCGAGTTCGGGCTCCGAACCCGAACCCGAACCCGAACCCGTACCTGAACCCGAGAGTGACAAGTTGGGGGACTTAAAGAGGTGCCTTGTGGATAATCTCTACGGAACTGAGTATGGACTGAGAGCGAGCGCTGAGGTTAGGGCTGAGATTTTTGAGCTGGTAAGCCAGTTGGAGGCGGAGAATCCGACACCGGCGCCGAACGAGACGGCGGAGTTTCTTGATGGGAATTGGATTTTATTGTAAGTTTTCCGTTGCGTTTTACTGATTTTAGTTGTCTAATTTGAAAAATTGCGTTGCTTTCTAGAGCTTGTGAAATGTTGTGATTATTACATATATTAAGAACACTTGAAATCCACATGAAAATGGCGATCTCTTGATTCTCTTGATATGCTAGACTTGGGCATTCTCTGAGTTTCAGTTATATATGTAACGTGTGTCTGTAGGTGTTTGTTTGATTATGCGCTAACTTACTGGTTCACCTTTAGTCTTATTTTTAGGGTATTTGCACTATATCATTGTTGAACATGAGTGTTTATAATGTGAGTTCATGCCATAATTCCAGCCTGATACTCCTACTAGTAACCGCAGCAATCCAAGATGCATTTTTTTCCTGACACTATTGTAATTTTCATGGAAGCTTGAGACTGGCTTGTGATAAAATTAGGTTTTGCTAGACATCATCGGACTTTTCTTTTAGCTACTCGAACATATTAGGTTTGGGCTTTTTTTGAGCTTGTTTATTGGAAAGAATTTAGATAATCTTGAGGATGGATTCTTTGCATGGAAAAATAGAAATGTAGTTTTAGTTTCATTGTTTAAGAAACAATAGAAGACAATAAGGTTTAGTAATTATTGGATTTAAAAGAAAATCATGATTCATGTTAAAGATTAGGTCATTGGAATAATGATTCACCTGCTCGTATTTATTGCCTCTAACTTTTCTTTGGCTGTTGAAGTCATTTTGTGATGAATACAGACTTTGACTTTTAAATCTCTGTAATGAAGGACAACTGATTACAGTATATGATCATCATCAAAGTTTTGATTTGTAGTAGCAGTGGCGATCATGTAAAACCTACTACCTATACTGCATGTTCACCACAACTTGCAGTATTCTTTTTACTTGATGCATACTTTGGACATGAAACTTGTAGTCGTTTATGCTATTTTTTGTGTTCTTTTTTATGAAGGGACAATAACACAAGTATACTTTTCTTTTTTGAATTGTTTTAGGTACACAGCATTTTCTGAGCTTTTACCTCTTGTAGCGATTGGCACTATACCTTTGCTGAAGATAAAAGAGATATCTCAACAAATTGACACCAGAAGTATGTCGATAATTAATGCTACAACTCTCTCTAGCCCATTTGCTACTTTCTCTTTTAGCGCAACGGCTTCATTTGAGGTTCGAAGCCCATCAAGAATACAGGTATTTACCTTCTTACTCATTAAGTATTTGACAGTTATCTTGTCTTATGATCTGGCTCAGCATGTTTTATAGTTCACTGGGTAAGAAAATTTGTGAAGATTTTGGTTGGTGTTCTCACTATAATTATGACCTTTCACAAAGTTGACATGTCAAGTGTATTTTGAATAATATTCTTTTGTTGTTTCTCAATACAAAAGTAACTTCCTTTCGCACATTCTGAAAACTAATTGATCTTAAATCTTTTGAGCACTTGCTCTTGTACAGTTGATGATGCTTCTTAGTGCATGTGGAATACTAGGTTTGCCTGCATACTTTTATCTTAGTAGTTAGTTCTAAGTACTTGTAATATGTTAAGTAAATTGAACATCAGCTTAACTTATCCATGATTTGAGATGAGTGGTGCATTCAATCTTAATGAGTACTTTACAATCTTTTAGAAAATTTGAGCGGGGTTTATGCGTGTTGTCCATTTAGATATGTTTGGCCCAGCTCTCCATCCTTGCCTGGTTGACACTGATGCTCTCACAAATTTGTCAAATACTGTGTTACAGTATTCATCTTATTGAGGCTGCACGTATGAATCATCTCATTTCAATAATGAAGTAAAATTAAGCAAATTCAGTGGTTTATTAGATTTATTTTATTTGATTTCTTATTTTCTGCTTGAGCAATAGGATCATGCATGTCGTAGATACATACATCATTGCAATAATCAGCACAGAGTATATAAAGCATATTGAGCTTCAGAACCTCATAGCATAAGGGTTAACACTCAAGAAGGTTTCCTCTATCCTTCTTTTAGCTATAACTGGCAAAGTGTAAAGTGTTTCCATGCACAGAACAGATTGACAGAAGTAAAGCCACTGCATGTGCCATACATGCCATATGGGAAATATAAAACCATAGTAACTAAACCAAATTGACATTTGGAAGATTACTTTTCATGATAGTATTTGAATTGATGTTGAATGCAGATTATATTGTTCTCAAATAAATTGACAGAATTACCATTATAAGTAAGATAATTATTCTGATGTTTTAAGAAGATTGTATCGTTTGCAAATGTAATTTGATCAATATAATATCAAAAGATATAAAACTATTAAAGCATAGCACAATCACATTTATCTAATCTAAATTGTTTGGTTGTCGATCACCTGTATGCCTTTTAGTGTGAGTTGACTGAAGATGATATTTTCTTTCTCCAGTTAAATCTAGTTTTAAGCCTGATGGAAGACATTGTTTGTTAGACCTTAACCATTCAAGAAACAGCCCAAAATTGTGACAATTTTATTTGATTAGTAGAAGGCCTTAAACCTAATCAGTATAACATTCACTCGTATATCTTTCATACTTTAAGCACGGAAGGCTGATACACATGGTTATTTGTAGACACTGGAGAGGAGAGACTGAGACAAATAGAGCTCTGCCAGTCACTTTTAGGGCATTTTCCCCCTCAAATCTTACATGGATCATTTGATACTCTCTAGGGGCCAAAAGATGGGAAGAGAAATTCCATTTCAACAATCCATTCTGTAAGGTGCTATTTAAATTTATCACCAGTTGCTTGTGCCACATTTGTGATTGGAGAAGAAGCCCAAATAGGTTGTTGAGATGTATTATGGTGAGAGATAAATGTGGCTTGGAAGGTTTCACCTCAAGTTAAGGCAGTGGTTCACATTTTTAGCTCAAGAAGGTGGATTGGTGGAGTCTAAGTTCCTTTTGAGCCTGTTTTCCTAGCTATCCAATTAATAAAATTTGATCCCTTGACCATTGTTTATAAGGTTAATGGAGAGTCTGGTTTAAGTACTATGGAAGTGGTTACTGTAGTGGTCTTCTGACTTGGCAGTTGGCACTTGGCACCAAGTAAATGACATTCTTGAACCACTCAAAATTCTCTTCCATAATGTTGGCTTCAGAGCCGGGGGTAAGCATTGCAACTCTTCTAGGTATTGTTTCTAACATCATCTGGAAAATTAGATTATCCTTTGTATTAGTCATGTATCTATTGGCCTTCTTTTTGCTCACAGCTCCGAAAGGATTGGATTATATTGGAAAAAGTCCTGCACAGAATTTCGCGCAATTATCATAAGGATATTTTTTGGTTAAAGATCCCTGGAAATACATACTGTCCAAGTGGAATAAAAAAATGGTTGAACTTCATTTCCTTCAACTTGACCAATTTCGTGGGAATTAGAACTCGAGGAGTCTTTCATAAAAGGTAATACAAAGATGCGGTTACTTGGAGTCTCCTTTTTCGTTGATGCGGGGTTTGAGTCTATTAAGCTCTAACATTTTCAAGATATCAGAAAAGAATGTTGGACCGATGGATGTCAAACTACTGGTTGAAAGTTCTAGTAAGTTTGTTCAATAGTATGACTTGTAGTAGAAGCTTCTAGTAACTTTCTTCAGTGCTATAAGGTGGTAGGATTTGGTCTGGTTAAGCATTGATTTTGACCTTGGATGAGAACTGACTCCTATAACAGTATGTACATACAGTTGTTCATGCAACTGATTACAATGGTAGTAAGTTGTAGTTATGCACATCTGCACATAGTGGCAAATGCTATAGAGGAGCATATGTGATTGACCAGTGAATATTAGCATATGTGATTGACCAGTGAATATTATGATTATGTACTGATCCCTGACAGTGGAATGTAACGTAGAGGTGTATGTAATTTAACAGGATAGAGACTCCCTTGGAATTTGGAAGGGAATTATGACTAGCAAATTAGAAATATCGAGGTGGCAGCATTTGCCAGACTTTGCATGGGACTGGTGACCTGTAGTAAGTTGGAAATCTACAGGGGGTCTGTATTGCAAAAAATTGAGGACAAAAATGAGCGTTAGATTTGAGAAGTTGTTTCTGCGGAACGATGTTATTAAGCAGTTGCACATGACCAAACTTCTGAAAGCTAGTCTGGATAGTGGATACCTGGCAGGCAATTGGTGGTTCGAATTGTATATTACTATAGTGTATTTTAGGTTATAGACATTCAGGCTTATGTAATAGGTTCTTATAGATAAGCCTAATGGAAATGATATTTTATCTTGAACTGGAAGATTCATGCTAAAATGGTTCTGCATGCAACAATCACCACATTACTGCTAACACAGTATCTCTTTGGCTGGGGCACCTAAATTTAAAAACTGGAAGTCACTGACTGACACCATTTAAGGTTCTGTCTTTATACTAGTGTTAGTTAGCACTCATAGTCCCTTATTTATGACTGTTTTATATAAACCATGAACATTGATGATAAATATATTGACATGATTAATTGAACATGGAAGATGAAGTTTATAAATCATCAGACTCAATCAGTCTTATTTAATTCCCATCAAATGGGGTCAGCTAATTTCATCTATGTGCCCAAATGAGTGTGAGTTCAGAGTATTTACTGGAGAGAGCTGCACATAATCTTATGTTCTTAACAGGTAGATGAGAGCTTTGCTTCAGTTTGGTAATTGTATTTAAATCCAAAGTGCCATGCAAAAGTGAAAGAGCCTGCGGCCAAGACACACTGTCACATTCTACCAGATAGAAATGTGCAGTACTTATGCCGATTACAAATTATGTCATTGGAAATATTTGCAGACTGAGGAGGCATATATTTATGCCTAATTAGAAATCCAAGTCATGTCACCTAGCCCGCTCTTAATCTTTGGTTAGGACTTTGCTTGATATTTATTTATTGGTCAGAACTATTTTCATCTGAACAGATGTCTAATACCACAATTTCACCTTCAGACTTGCTGGTCTTTATCTCCTAGATAAAGCTCTTCACTCTATTGATTCCAGTTTCAATTTCAAAATATGTTCTTACAGAAATTGAACGAGAAGCATGTAGTTTATCTTATTTTCCCTCACGATTACATTAGATAATGCTTGCTATTCTTCATCTGGAACCAAGCTCCTTGAATTTGGACAATCCCATGCTGAAATTACTTGGTTGGGTTTCTGTTGCTTCCCTCCAGAAGGGCAGTCTATCTGTATTACTTCTGGTACATCAATAAATGAATATTGCTACTATATGTTTTTCTTAAAAGAAACTGGTTCATAATGCACCTGGGTTTTATGCAATGCGTACTTTTGTTCCTTGAACTTTTGCCCACATATATGTTCCTCTTCACCTTCAGCTGGGGGGATCTTTAGATATCTGCTCTTCTATTTAGATATACGATGATGTTCTCTTTCAAAGAAAGCTAAAATGTGGCATCCATATATTCACTAATGCTGAGTATTATAAGCAGGTGCGATTCAAGGAAGGAGCATTCAAGCCTCCAGAAATATCATCCACTGTAAATCTCCCTGAAAACATTGAAGTCTTCGGGCAAAAGATCAGCCTGTCCCCTGTTCAGCAGTCACTAAACCCTTTGCAGGAGGCTGTTGCCAACATCGCACGCAGTATCTCTGGTCAGCCACCACTCAAGATTCCCATTCCTGGAGACAGGACGGCATCATGGCTCTTGACGACTTACCTCGATGCGGACTTCAGAATTTCAAGAGGCGACGGAGGCTTGTTTGTGCTTGCAAAGAAAGGGAGCCCTCTGTTGGATCAGCTTTCATGAAAATAACTGTTGTAAATATATGCATGTATTCTTGTCATTTTTGTAGCTTGATCATTCCACAAGATGGTTGTATTCATTTGAATTGATCATGCCAGATTTTTTGGCAGATGTTGAAATAACTGCACTATGATATATATATACAGCTCTTTATGCAAGATAGTTGACGTTTGAAGGGAGAAATCATTCGATCTTGTATCCTCTGCAGAAAATACGTATACTTGTAACGGGGGGAAAACATAAAAGTTAGCTGAAATCAATTTCATCACTACAGTTTTAAGTGGGGAGGTCAAAATTCCATTGCATGGATATATGTATAAAGATATAGTACGGAACTTATGTTACGAGTTCACCCGTTTCCTTGCAAAGTAAAATGTAAGGCAAAGTGGAAAGGAGAAATCTCTGTGGGGCTGAATATAATCTCAGGCCAAGTACAACTCCGCAGAGTGTATAAATAAGAATTATCTCAATATTTATTCTCATATTTTAAGGAAAAATAGAATGAGAAAACAGCTATCCAATAGAGAGGCATGTGATTCAAACTTGGACAAGGTTTCGGTGCGCGAGATCCCTGCAAAATACGTGGACAGCGGTGATTAGTGAAGCTGTGTTTTAGTCCCACATCGCTTGGAGAGGTGGGACTCCCTTCTACCGAGGGCTTTCAAAGGCGTCGGGCCTCGCCAAGAGGAGCCCTACGCAGCTGCGTGGTGAGCACAGAGCGAACTATTCTTTCGCCTTTTACTAAAGAATACCGTGTGCTCTCCACATTTAAGCAGCATACGCCACTTTTTGGAGGGTGTCCTTTTAACAAAAAGGGCCCTAACAATTCTAAATTGTAAATTTTATCATTGAATTTATCTCTACTGTGCCAATGAGGAGTTCAATTATGATGTTTTGATGAGACTTTTTTTCTACGTGTGTGCATAGGGGCACGCTTGAAGAAAACTAAGCAAGCCCTTATTACTAACCTACATGATTATGAAAAGGAGATCAATTCGGGTATATTCTATAATTCAAAACAGATGAACATCATTTTATAAGTTTAAATCTTTTGATTTGCGTAATTAGCCTAAAAAATATACTCTACGGGACATTTGCAAGCGAGTGTAATAATTTGTCCTTGAATTTTGCTAAAGAAATATCAGAAATGGGGATACTTCACTTTCTGCAATCACGATGGATCTGAATGCAATCGGTAGAGCATCGAGAGAAGCTTACCATATTCGTAAATCTAGTCGTCTGCGGCAATAATTTTTTCTAGCACTCAAATTGCATTAATCTTCTGTTAATTGCAAATACATCTCCTGTAATGCGGGGATTGATCACTCAATATCTCTCAACTTTTTTATTAACATTCGGACCTCCTCGTCTCATTGGAGATATCTCACTCTTATCATTTATCAAAAGGGGAGAAAAATTAACCAGCTACCTTCATGCTCCTTAGGCTTAATTGCACCTAAACATCCTATGGTTTCCTCTAAGGGGCTGTTTGGTTTGTTTCCTTGATATAGAGAAATGCAATTCCATGTAAAGAAACACAAGTTTTGAGTTTTCCAAACTTTTTCAAGAAATAGATTTTTTTGCTTTGGTTCGCACATAAAAAATGGTGGGAAATCAATGTATTTATTTTTCTTGTGTTTGGTTCGCATAGAAAAAAAAGAAAACTTTTGTAAACAGAGCAGAGAAGGAAAAAAAATCTGACGTGGCAGAGTTTTCATTAATTTCACTTGGTTGGGGAAGGAAATCGGAGAGGGAAAAAAACTCTTAGTTGGCAGCGATTTCAGCAGAGTTTTCCCTCTTCCATTCGAACGAACCAAAGCGGCACAAAGAAATGGACGGAAACAAGAGTTTTCCCTCTTCCATTCGAACGAACCAAAGCGGCACAAAGAAATGGACGGAAACAAAAAAGCTGATGTGGAGGGCTAAAAATCTGACGTGAAATGGACGGAAACAAAAAAGCTGATGTGGAGGGCTAAAAATCTGACGTGGAGGGGTTTTCTAAGTTTTTCACCCCTTATAATAGCGAACCAAACAGCCCCTAATTTGAACTTATCCTCAATTATTTTTTGCAGCACTTATATATTATAAAGTTCTTAAAACTTAAGCTTAATACTCCAGTTACGCAAATTAACAAAAACAATTACCACCCAGAATTCTTATGTGATATTCGCATACTAATTTTAGAACATTTTGACTCTTAATTTTAGTTAGATTTATTGTTAAACCTACCGAAATTCTATTTTAAATAGTATTAGGGTAGATTTAAGTAGACTTATGAAAGTTTTAATGGTAAATTTGACAAAATTAAGAATTAAAGTTCTAAAATCAGCACGACCATCACGCAAGAATTCTCAAGTGGAAGTTCTTGCATTTGCAAAACTGAGGATATCTCGGTGTAAATTTTAAAAAATTTAAACAAGTGAAGGTATAAGAAGCAAGGGAAACTATAGGGAATTTAAGTGCAATTAAGCCTACTTTTTATTTAATCTGCTCACATGTTATATGTTAGGAACATTATAATTAATTTGGATTCTGAATCTATTTGCCAGGATTAGTGGATTCACTAACTCAATTGATTAAACACAATTTAACTTCTTATCTAGATGCATTTTTGTCAGTCATACCGAAAAAATTCCCCAGGATCTGGTTCATGACCATTTTAGTTGGGACAGATTCTGCATGTGCCAAATTATTGTAAAATATTAAAAAACGGTTCATAAATGTAACAATTCGAGATTTTCTTTTCTGATCCGAGGAATATTTCTATCTGCTCAAATGCAGCAGTCGATAGGTTTCTATATAAAAATCAAATACAGCCGCTCAGATTGTTCTTAAAATAGGTGATACTAGAGCATCACTTTGAAAGCATTAGACGTTTCTCCAATAAATAATAGAGACTAAGGCCAACATACGTTACCACAAAATATAAACAGCACTCCATAAAATGTTATTTTGAGCGGTTTAGTCATAAGCAATATACTACAAAAAAAAAAGGTTTTTTTTTTCTTCCTTAGAAGCGACCTATTTTAAAATAGGTCATTCTATAGAAACAACTTTTCATTTTCAATTTGTACACAAACTATCTTCTTTAAAGGGTTTTTGTTGAACTTAACCACCTGATCCCAATTTTCAACTGAGTTTTTTTTTCAATAATTGAGCCTACTTAAACTCAATTAAGAATCAATCTCTCTAACATACCTCAAATTTAACAATTAATTATTATCATATCATATCATATCATATCATACTCCATTTAAAAGTACGAGTTCGGAAAATCTTTTTTAGACAAATATACCCCTTTATACTTTGAACTACCTTAATAATTATTAGTTAAAAAAAACTTTGTTTTCTTTCATGCACCAACGTGGCCAAAGATACAATTCCCTTAGGAATGAGATATTATTTTAAAAATGAATCATACTCCCTTTTATTATATTCTCTATTGAACTTATTATCACACACCTGAACTATCTGAACTCGTGATTAAACTTACATTCTTATCTGTAGACTCACCCACCTGCACCCGTAATACTTTTATTATAATAACTTTAATAACTTTATATATAAATCTCTGATTGAACTTCAAATCCTAATAAAACTCTAATTATGACTATTATCCTATCACATGCAATACCTCATGCCTATATATGAACCAAGAAATTACACAATTTTCATAGTAACTTCATCTCCTTTAACATGTAAGTGTCTTTTTTATTTTCAATGATTATTCTTTAAAAATATTGTGTCTTTGATTTAATGGTGATGGTGATATTTGTTTTACATTGTAATTACTTTTTATGGCAATTGATATTTTTTAAAAAATTACTTCAATTTTCATGCAGAATTTAGAAGATTAAAGATTTGATTCTTGCAAGTTCTCCCACCGATCAAGGTAAATCTTCATGTTTGATATTTTCTAACTGTGTGTGCTCACGCGTGCGCATGCATTTGCATGCTGATAGGTTCGGATTTTTTTTATTGCAGCAGGTATTCATATGCACACATGTATTGATAAATTTATGATATTTTCAACTAGAAATCTTTATGAACGCATGAAGGTACATGTTTGTGTATAAAAAAAATGCAGGCTTTCATCTTATTGATTCCTTGGGCAAAGGATACGTAGGCAGTCATTTTGATGCAGCCGATTTGGTGAGCGACATCGACATTTGGGGTGAGTGTTCACACTCTCATTTGGGTCTCAGCATGTGAGGCATTTGTTTGGTTGGTGTCGGCTCAGTTTTGGGAAAACTTCGCCGAGGTGGAGAATTGTGGAGAAGAATTGGAAAAAGCAGATTTTTGGTCATAAGTCGACTCATGCACAGGCATAAGTCGACTTATGGTAAGTCGACTTATGTTGGTGCATGAGTCGACTTACGTTCTGCTCTGGATTGTTGGTTTTTTGCTCTGCCAAGTCGACTTATCAGGTCTGATAAGTCGACTTATGATCTCTTCTCCAGTTGCTGTTTTTCGCTCTGCCAAGTCGACTTATGCAGACTGATAAGTCGACTTATGACGGGTTTTTTGGAAAGTTCAGGTTCCTATTTGCAGTCTGTTTGGGTTTCTGTTTTGGTATAAATACCAATACGATTTGAGGGTTTTGTGAGGAGAGTTTTGGGGTTTTGGAGCACAGAAAAAGAGAGATCTTTCTGAGCTATTTGTTAGGGTTATTGGTTGAGAGATTGAGAGATTTGTTGGTGAGATTAGTTGGTTCGTTTGAGCGATTTGTAATCTCAATTTGTACTCTCCTTCTCTATTAGTGAAAACCCACCCCCTTCTTGCCCCGTGGACGTAGGCAATTTGCCGAACCACGTAAAACCTTGGTGTTTGTGTTTTGTTTGGTCTTTCTCTCGGCGTTCGTTGGTTTGGTTTCTCAAAGCATCAGTCACAACAAGTGGTATCAGAGCACGGGCAACGCTTGGGCTATTTGGAGGAGTAGATCGCTTTGGAAGTTCATCTAGGGCTTCGTTTGGTGATAAAGGTGGGATCTTTTTTTGTAAAAATCTCGTCTTTTTCAGTTTGGATCTATTTCTCGTTTGTTTCCGCATTGGTTTGGTGGTGCCTTGAGGATTATGGCCGAGAAAGAAGGAGTTGTGGGCAGTACTTCCGGCGTGAAGACCGTCCAAAGCTTGAATATCCACTCAATGAAGATTGATGTGGAAAAGTTCAATGGCACAAACAATTTTGGACTTTGGCGATGCGAAGTCATGGATGCGCTCAACGCGCAAAATTTGGAAGATACGTTGGAGTTGGACGGGAAACCGGACAACATTGATGAGAAGGTTTGGAAAAAGATGAATCGAACGGCGTGTGGTGTGATTAGGTCTTGTCTCACTCAAGATCTAAAGTATGATGTGATCAATGAGACTTCTGCAAAGAAGATTTGGGAGATCCTTGAGAGCAAGTATTTGACCAAGAGTGTGGAGAATCGCTTGCATTTGAAGAGGAGGCTTTACCGCTTCCAGTTGAAGAAAGGAACCTCCATTGGTGATCACATGAACCACTACACGAAGCTTCTTGCGGATTTGGCGAATGTGGATGTTAAGATTGAAGATGAGGACAAGGCGTTGTTGCTATTGAGTTCCTTGCCTGACGAGGAATATGAGACCTTCGTTCTTACTCTTATTAATGGGAAGGCATCTCTTTCGTATAGTGAGGTCACCGCTGCACTTGTGAATTATCAGCTTCGAAAGAAGGATAAGGAGACTTCGTTTGAGCCGGTAGCGGGGGCGTTGGTCGCAAGAGCAAAGGGTCCAAACCGTAGTGGGAGGTCGCAGTCTAGAGGGGCACATCTTGGAGTTCGTAAGAATCAATGTGCCTTTTGCAAAGAAGATGGACATTGGAAAGCCGATTGCCCAAAGTTAGTTGATCGAGCCGGGAAGAATAAGGGAAAAGCTATTCAAGCTTCAGAGGCGAATGTTGTCAAGGCTAGTGGCAACGATTCAGATTCGGATTCTTCGGGCTACTCGTTATCTGCACTGCCGTCAGTTTGTGTTGCCTACTCTACAGAGTGGATATTGGATTCGGGTGCTACATACCACATTTGCCCTAGGAGGGATTGGTTCTCCAGCTTTCAGGAGTTGGAAAGAGGGGATTTCGTGCTCATGGGGAATGATCACAAATGCTCTATTGGTGGTATTGGTACTGTTCGGATCAGGATGAGTGACGGGGTGATTCGGGAGTTGGTTGGAGTGAGGTTCGTTCCTCAGTTGAAGAAGAACATCATTTCACTTGGAGCTTTGGAGGCAGCTGGCTATAGGGTGACCTTGGCGGATGCACGCTTGAAGGTTACATTTGGGTCCATGATTGTGATGAAGGGCGTCAGAAGAAGAAATTTGTATTATTTGCACGGAAGCACGGTGATTGATAGGGAAATGACGACTTCATCAGATTCGGCTAGACTGTGGCATTGTTTGGTGCTGGGGTATATGATTGGTAATACCGTGCATTGGTTGTTGAGGAGTGCTATGACCTGCAGATTGAAGTCCTGTGAGCACATTAGGATGAGCGAGACCGTGGTGGAGTTTGGCACTTCTATCCATCGAGCGAGGGGTCTTTTTGGAGGTGTTCAGTCAGGCATTTGGGGGCCTTCCAAGGAGGCATCATTGGGAGGTAATCGTATCTTGGTTTCCACAGTTGGTGATTGTTCTAGGCATTATTGGGTCGCGACCAGTTCCCGTTGGTGTAAAGTCCTAGAAGTCAACAACAATTGGAAGAAGTGTATTGGCAGAAAGGTAACTCATTGTTTCAGCTTTGGTAGGGGTCCTTTCTTGCGTTGGTGCCGAGCTCACGGCAATAGGAGACACTTCATTGGTGTGGAGACTTTGGGGCGACGAGATGAGATGACAGTTTCGATGGGTCGTTCCTTTCTGGAGGAGGATCGGCGTTTGATGTCGAGCATTGGCATTGGTGTGCGGGCTTCGACATATTTGGGTCATCTTATGCATAGGTCGCCGACTGCTGCTTTAGGAGTTATTAGATCTGGTGGAGCTGCTTCAGATTTTGGGTCGCGTCGGATATTTGGATACCCAGCATTTGGTCACATCGTGGATGTGAGATTGGATCCGATTGCGCGTTTGGGGTTCGGAGGCTCAGTTGATTATCGTTTGGGAGCTTCTGATTTTGTTCTGAGCAGGTATGTCACTTTTGACTCTCGGCAGGTGGAGAGTGTTGATCAGGTCATTTGGATATCGCAGCAGGTGGAGAGTGATGCTACTCCACGTTGGGTGGAGATTACTCCACATACTCCAGATCATACTGCGTCATTTGGGATTCCAGCTAAGGTGACACAGGTTGGAGATCATTTGGTTTTGGATGCAGATGATGGATTGGTTTTGGATTCAGTTGCAGCTGGTAGATATAGTTTGGATATGGCCATTGGTTTACCTCAGGTGGAGGTGTTTGATTTGTCTCAATTTGGGGTCATTGGGAATACTATCAGTTGCAGATCGTTTGGTGATATTGGAGAAGAGTTGCAGACTTTTCTATTTGATTGAGGGCCTTTGGAGGCCGTTTGGGTGAACTACGTGAAGGCTTGATTCCTTGGGCAAAGGATACGTAGGCAGTCATTTTGATGCAGCCGATTTGGTGAGCGACATCGACATTTGGGGTGAGTGTTCACACTCTCATTTGGGTCTCAGCATGTGAGGCATTTGTTTGGTTGGTGTCGGCTCAGTTTTGGGAAAACTTCGCCGAGGTGGAGAATTGTGGAGAAGAATTGGAAAAAGCAGATTTTTGGTCATAAGTCGACTCATGCACAGGCATAAGTCGACTTATGGTAAGTCGACTTATGTTGGTGCATGAGTCGACTTACGTTCTGCTCTGGATTGTTGGTTTTTTGCTCTGCCAAGTCGACTTATCAGGTCTGATAAGTCGACTTATGATCTCTTCTCCAGTTGCTGTTTTTCGCTCTGCCAAGTCGACTTATGCAGACTGATAAGTCGACTTATGACGGGTTTTTTGGAAAGTTCAGGTTCCTATTTGCAGTCTGTTTGGGTTTCTGTTTTGGTATAAATACCAATACGATTTGAGGGTTTTGTGAGGAGAGTTTTGGGGTTTTGGAGCACAGAAAAAGAGAGATCTTTCTGAGCTATTTGTTAGGGTTATTGGTTGAGAGATTGAGAGATTTGTTGGTGAGATTAGTTGGTTCGTTTGAGCGATTTGTAATCTCAATTTGTACTCTCCTTCTCTATTAGTGAAAACCCACCCCCTTCTTGCCCCGTGGACGTAGGCAATTTGCCGAACCACGTAAAACCTTGGTGTTTGTGTTTTGTTTGGTCTTTCTCTCGGCGTTCGTTGGTTTGGTTTCTCAAAGCATCAGTCACAACAAGTAGATGACCATGTAATTAATGAGTTCCAACTAAACTTGATCTTATCCACGTCCTAATACATCAAAGTCAAGCCAATAACTTGCTTTAGATGTTCACTGGACATTTCTTATACCCGTAACACAATTTTTTCCGAAAGAAGTAAATTCATAACACAAATTCAACCCACCTACACCCGTAATATAATTCAAATTCTAATAAAACTCTAATTATGACTATTATCATATCACATGTAATACCTCGTACCTATATATAAACCAAGAAATTACACAATTTTTATACTAACTCCATCTCCTTCAACATGTATGTTTCTTTATTATATATTTTCATGCATAATTACTCTTTAGAAATATTGTGTATTTGATTTAATGGTGATGGTGATATTTGTTTTACATTGCAATTACATTTTAAGGCAATTTAATTTTTTTTAAAATAACTTCAATTTTATTGCAGAATTTCGAGGATTAAGGATTTGATTGTTGCAGGTTCTCCCATTTATAAAGGTAAATCTTCATGTTTGATATTAATGTAATTTAGATTTATTTGATTATATATTTAATTTGATTAAACCGAAATATAACATAGATACATTTCCTCTTCTTTTTTTTAAATTTAACCGATTAAAAGATGAGAATGAATCTGTAGTTGGTTTGAATTCTTGATGAGGGTTTTTTTTTAAATTTAACCGATTAAAAGATGAGAATGAATCTGTAGTTGGTTTGAATTCTTGATGAGGGTTCTCCTTTTTTTTAATTGATTTATCTCTCTGTAGTTGGCTTGAGTTCTTCTTATTTTGTGGCATGAGAGGTTAGTAGGATTTTTCGCTCTTTGGGGTTGGATTTAAGTCTGTGATTTTGATGAGTAGATGGTAGCAAGTGTACATGTGAAATAATTAAGGAATTGGAAAATTTTGTTATTCTTTGTTCATAGCTTGTTTGGTCTATGAAAACTTTCATTTCATAGGTACGCTTCATTCTCATAGATATATTAGGCAACTTACAAAAATCGGTCTATGAAAACTTTCATTTCATAGGTACGCTTCATTCTCATAGATATATTAGGCAACTTACAAAAATGCAAAAGGATCAAGGAAAATACTAAAACTAATTCTTGCAGACGCAAAGGTAAAATAAAATTATTTTAAATATTATATTGTTTGCCCAACGTTACATCTGATCATATGAATATTGCTAAATCTCATTTTCTAATCGGTAAATTATATTAAAACACTGATAACTATCAGAATGGCTTTTTTTGATGTTTCCCTGTTTACATATAGTATATAGATTAGTATTAATTAATTATATTTTCCATGCATTGATCTCTGGTGTTAATAATATTTGCAGGGTAACAAAATACAAGCAGTGATGTACGGAGATACTATCGAAAAGTTTATAGATATACTTCAAAAAAATCAAATTATTTTCATTTCAAATGGAGAAGTGAAAGGAATAAACCCAGCTTTTCCAAGTATCCACAAGTCACTTGAATTAGTACTAACAAAAAACGTATCGATCAAAGAAGTCAAAGAAGCACCAACAGGATTCCACCTGGAGAACATATTTAACAACTTTGTCCCATTTGAAGAAGCATTTTCCATGAAAGATGCAACAAAAATTAGTAAGTAATTACAAACTTCTTACTTAAATCTTCAATACAAAATGAGGCATTAATCTATAGAATCATAATCTTTTTATCAAATCACTTGCAGATATTCTCGCAATAACAACTAATGTTAAGCCGGCGATCAACTATATTACAAGACACAACAAACCAGACACTAGGAGGAAAATCACGCTTATGGATATGAGGTATATTCATGTTACTTATTTCCAATATCATAAGAGAAAAAATATTAACATTCTTTCTTTTTCATATGCAGAATGGAATGCTAATGCGTGCAACTTTATTTGGAGATTTGGCTACAAATGAAGGATCAATTCTTGAAACAGAAATCAAATATAAACCTGTAATAGCTTTAACAGATTTTAAAATCTCTATATATCAAGGTACATAAATTATTGCTGAAATTCTTATTAAAGATAGCTAAACATAAAATTACTCCTATAATTTTCTCATTTTTGCAGGAGATACAAGCATATCGTCGCAAATTATTTCAACATTATGTATCAACCCAAAAATAGAACTAGCTAGCGAATTAAGGGAATGGTAAGCAGAACAAGCATACTTTCATATAACCCAATAATGGAATATTATTATTTGTTAATATAATATGCATGTTTCAATTGGAAGAAGATGCAAAAGCAAAAGGATCTCCATCGACGCTTTTTAAAAATGCCAAGGAAATTCATATTAGTGATATTATGCATAAGTCACAGAATTCTATACAGGTATAATATTATATACATATTCTTATCTACAAATTTAAATCTAACTAAACTTTGTGAATATACAGGCACGGTATTGCACATTTAAGGCAAAGATAACTACTATTTTAAATAGGCTCGAGCCATGGTTCTATGCTTGCAAAGGCTGTGACAAGAAGGTTGATAAAGATGTTAGTAAAGAGTGTCTGAATGACAAATGCCGCAGAATCATTGATGACCCAGTACCAAGGTTAAGTAATATATCTTTTTTAATACCATGAACATATTAAAATGCAATACTAATTGTCTTTAGAAATTAACAATGAAAAATACAGGTACTTAGTTAAGATTCTCGTGGAAAATGGCACAGATAATGCAAGAGTAACACTCTTTGACGCAGCAGAAACTCTTATTGGATGCAAAGCATAAACATTCATTACAGAAAAGAAAGAGGTAATTCCTAACTCTATTCAAGTAGTAAATTAGAAAATAAACAAATTCATAAGTATTAATATAACATTTGTTCTCATTGCAACAAAAAAATAATCAGAGTCCATATTTCCAAAAATTTGTTTTGAACATCAGAAAAACATTCAAATTCCTGGTAAAGTTAGATGAAAAGAAAAAGGATGAACGAGGCGAAGGCAATATAATAGCACAAGAAATTCAACTCCAGTCTGATATTACAATCGACATAGATGATGAAGATGCTACTCTAGAGTTGCCCAGAAAAAAGATAAAGGTGGAGAAAGATTGATCTCCGTTCAATTAGAAATTTTCAAGAACAATATTTTTTAATCATTTTATATAACAACTTATTTTTTTATTACAATTAGGAATTTTTATAAGGTATTTTCATGCAGAGTTATTAGTAGTTTTGTATGCTTACGTGATTGCTTACATCACATAAAATTATACTTTGATATTTAACCATTTTACTATATTTTGTTATTGTCTATGGATAGCACAGAATGTGATCAATCATTTATGATATAAAGGTGGCCTCTTTTAACTAATTGGCAAAGAATTATTGTTGTGATGAATTTGCTTGGGGTTGTCACAAACCTCAATATTCTTTGTTTTCAAAAAAAAAACTTGGCTTACTAATTATTACTTGTTAAGATTGTTGTCATGTTGAATAAGAGGCCAAATTTGATCAAGATTTACTTTCATACTTTAATTAAGTTCCTGTTAGGTGTTGTAGACTGTCTAAAAATCACAATAGATAGTTAATCCCCCATCAAACACCGATGATGGAAGTTATAATCTGACGACTTCCAGAAGGCTACAATTTGAGGACTTTCACGTAGAAGGTTACAATCTGACGACCTTCACAACAACTAATGAAAGCCCCAATTCAACAGCCTTCACAATCAACATCAGGAGTTACAATCTGACGACTCTCATATTTTCAAGGAGCCAAGACGAAGATTACAAGAGGACAATCTGTGCAAAGCTCTAGCAAAAGAGACTACAAATTAACAGTCTCTTCATATTAAAATACAGATATCTCCCAAACCGTAAGGAATTTGGCAAAACGGAGGAAGCGAACCGAAGCCTTTGGCCTGGTTCGGATGGATCCATCTCGTCGAGATAGCCGATTTTCATATATAATTCGTCTAATTCCGACTTACGGTTTGAAAGTTATGACCTGTTCTTCGCAGCAAATTATGTTCTGAGGTCCGTCTGCAAGACTGGACTTCATCAGAACATTGGACTTAGCCTGAAGCCCGCCAAGCCCGCCTAAGATTCGCCTCTGCATTACAGAGTCAAAGCGCACATGCTCAACTCTGCGTTTTCAACATCAAAACGCAGAGTTAATCTCTAAAACAGCACAACTGTGCGTTTTCAGCCTTTAAACAGGTGAACTGTGCGTTTATGGGCTCAACTGTGCGTTTTCAGCCGTTAACAGGCTCAACTCTGCGTTTTCAACATCAAAACGCAGAGTTAATCTCTAAAACAGCACGAACTGTGCGTTTTCAGCCTAAAACGTCCCAACTGTGCGTTTTCAGGCGAACTGTGCGTTTTCAGGCCAGCTGTGCGTTTTCAGCCTAAAACGTCCCAACTGTGCGTTTTCAGGCGAACTGTGCGTTTTCAGGCGAACTGTGCGTTTTTAGGCCAACTGTTCGTTTTCAGGCCAACTGTGCGTTTACAGGCCCAACTGTGCGTTTACAGGCCCAACTGTGCGTTTTCAGGTCCAGAAACGCACAGTTCGGGCCCAGAACGCTGTTTTCAGCGTTTGACTCGTTCAAGCACGATTTGAACGGTTCCAGAACCGTTTTCTCCCCAAGATTTTAGGGGATCACTACCCTATCATGGAGAGAATTATGGGGGGGAGTTACACCCCATTAAACCCTCATTAAGGAGAGATTTAAGGGGGCGTTTTACATCCCTAAATCCCCTATAAATAGTGGGAAACTCAACTGAGTTCGGGCTGGGATCCTTTTTCTTTGGGAGGGAGCAAAGGAGAAATCTTCGGCTAACTTTGGAGGGGAATTGTTGGAGTTTTGGAGACAAGCAACAGGACCTTCTTCCTTGGCTTATTAACCGAATTTTCGGTTCAAATCAACTCTTTTTCAAGAGTTCAAACTCGTTCAGAGTTATCAACTCGATCAGAGTTCAAAACTTGCTCTGCAAGTTCTTCCAAAACTCGTCAGAGTTATTAACTCGATCAGAGTTCAAAACTTGCTCTACGAGTTCTTCTAAAACTCGTTTAGAGTTAACAACTCGTTAAGAGTTATTTTCAAAACTTGCCACGCAAGTTCTCCACAGCGTCAAATCGTGAGGAGAAGACATCGTTCCAGTGAATCAAGACGTTCGGATCGTCAACGAAGAGCAAACTCGACGCGAGCATTCGAGGGAGGCACTCCATCGCCACCGTGAAGAACCCAGTTTTAAACAAAGGGGAAAATCAAATCCATTCTCCTCTTTTTTGTAATCGGAATCCAAATTGTAATTGATTTTGAGAGGAATACAAGTCAAATTTTTCTTTCATTATTTCTTTTACTGCAAATTTCCAACAAACAGGTGTTGGTGGTGGTGATCAATTAAAAATTCTTAGAACAAAAATAATTTACAAGTTTGCAGTAAATCAAACAATTAACTTAGCTTTTTGAGTCAAAAAATATTTGAATAAACTTAAATTTTTAAAATATTTTCTACGTTACTATAACTAAAATTCATAATAACAATTACAATATCCCAGATACTTATATTCATCCAAGTTTAGCTTAGATTTCTTTACATTTTTTTTAATATTTAAATAAAATACTAATAAATCTTCTAATTCAATTATACATATTTGAACTCAAGATAAATCTCACTTATTTAAAGTAATGAAATAAATATAAAACAATATTTTTTAATATTTAACCACGTGTATTGCACGTGCATAAAAACTAGTAACAAAAAAAACTTAAGTTTAAAGTTAATCAAGATGGTTGATTGCAATAAAAAATTATTTAAAAAAAGTTGATGTATAAATTAAAAATAAAATGTGATTTTTCTATAGAATGACCCTACTTTAATGGTGAATTTTGGGGGAAAAAATTGCGGACTATTATCTTTGGAGTCTCTTTGTTCCCAATACATAACATAACTAACCAAACAATCAAATTAAAAAAGATAACATTTTTCCGCACATAGAATTGTGTTTCTCTATAAAACAATATACAATGCTAATACAACTACATTAACAGCATTAATTCCATTGATGCTCTCTAAATATGAAGCAAATGAACAATTTGATCATACTCTCTTTAAAAGCACGAGTTTAGAAAAATCTTTCGGTTGACCAAAATACCATTGAAATTCAAATATTATTCCATTAAGTATGAGTAAGTTGATAAATTGATGAATTCTTATTGGATATACATAGTATGAAGATAATTATACAATTTAAATTGAAATGTAAATCTAAATAAAATTATTAAATGTCTAATTTATAAATGTCTACAAAATAAACGGTGTATATGCAAAAACTAAATAAATTAATGAGACAAATAATGTCTACCCTAAAGATCGAACCCGGGAATAACATTGACCTACAAATGTACATATGTGGATAGGATATTTACAAATCTACCAAACAAATTAAAGAGACAAAAGTCATTCTTAAAATTATAAAAAAAAAATTAAGAAAAACAAAAATCATACTCCCTTTAAAAGCACGAGTTCAGGAAAAGCTTTCTATAGTCAAAATTTCCATGTATTATTTTAAATATTTAATTTAAATTATAATCTATTCTAATCATACTTATATCCTATCCTAATACCCCTTGAAATATCTATAGCTCAACAATTTAAATAAAATTAATAAAATATATAAAACAACTCCGTAGTATCAGTTTATTACATGAAGTATTACAAAAAAAGTAATAAAAAATAGACAAAATACTCTTAAAAGTTTAAAATTACACAAAATAAAAGGCTAAAAATTTAGAACTTGGCAAAGAAAAGAGTAATTGTGTAATATTATTTCATTAAGATATATAAATATAATTTATAATTTAAGGTTTACTATCTCTTTTCAGAATCTGAAAATAATCAAGTTGATACTAGTAAAAAAATAGTAATAATAATAGATTAAAAATATCCAGTTAAAAAATAAAAATTTTAAAAAATATATGATAGATTAAAAATTAATATTATTGTATAAATAAAAGTAGCTGTATATAATTTTACCAATATGTTGAACAGCAAAAATACATAAGTATCATTAATTGATAGAAGACTAAATCCCAAAAAACTAATAAAAAACTATAATATAGTAGCTTAACATCAATTGATTATAACTTATAAATATTGATCTCTAATGGTAATATTATTTATAGGGTAAAAAATTATAAAGATTTATGTATGGAGAATTATTAAAATTTTTAGAGATATCATTTAAAAAAATCAAACGGTTTTCATTTCAAATGGAATTCGGAACGTCCATGAATCACTTTAATTAACACTAACATAAGTCATATTTATCAAAGAAACACCGACTAAATACCCCTTGAAGAATATATTAAACAACTTTGTTCCAATCAAAAAAAGAAGTATTCTTCATGAAAGATAAAAAAAATTACTATGTCATGACTCTACGTAAGCAAAAAATATAAAATCACCCTTTTTGTTTTTCTTATATAGTATCACGACCATGTGTGTGACTTTATTTAGAGGTATGACTACTAACGAAGGATCAATTCTTAAAGATACGATCAAAGATAATTATGTAATACCACTATTAGAATTCAAGATTTCTAAATATGAAGATAGTATATTTCATTACCAAAATTCTTATTAAATGACACTAAATATAAAATTCACATTATATCTGCCTCTAATTTATAGAGGAGATATGCATGTTATCGTAAATTGTATCTAATATATATCAATCCAAAGATACAACTTACTAAAGAAATAAGAGAATAGTAAGTAAACTAAGCAAACATCCATATAAAACCGTAAAGAAAAAATATTACATTTTAAAGCTAATATGCAGCGCTCTTTTAGAGTAAGTTGTCAAGACAAAAGCATCTCCATTAATGCTCTTTATAAATACAACAGAAATTCAAATTACTAATATATAAACCCATTATAACATTTGAAAGATGTATGATCTTAGAAAACCCACTCTAAAATTCATACAATTAAATCTAAGAATAATTTACCAATATACAGACACACAATCACATCTTTAAGGCAACGATAACTACCATTTATAATAGAGTTGAGCAGTGGTTCTATGTTTGCAAAGGTTACAATAAAAAAGTGGATAAAAATGTTGATAATAAGTGCCCAGATGATAAATGTTGTAGAATCACCGATGATGTAGTATAGAATCACCGATGATGTAGTACCAAGGTTAAGTGATATCCCTTCTTCATGAAATAAATATATTAATATTAAATATTAATATTATAATCTAAAGCAAATTGACAATAAAAAATGTAATATATTTAGTTCAGATCCTCATGAATAATGACACAAACAGAGCAAAAGTAACATTATGACACAACATAAGTTCTTATTGGATGCACAACAAAAGAATTCATTACAGAAAAAAAAGAAATAGCTCCTAACATTATTTAAGTAATAAATTAAAAGCACAAAAAAATTCATATATATGAAATTAAGATTATTCTTCTTGAAATAGGGAAAAAAAATCAAATTTTGTATTGTCAGAAGTTTGTGTTGAACATAAGAAATATATTCAACTTCTTTGTGAATTTAGACGAGAAAACAAAAGATGAATAAGTCCAAGGATAGATAACATGCTTCAGTCTTATATCACAATCGATGTAGACGATGAAGACACTACTCTAGAATTGCCCAGGAAAAAAATAAAGATGAAGGACTGATCTCGACTCAATAAAAAATAAAATAGAAACAACAAAAAATAATGTTTTGTGACTGGTTATAGAATAATTTTATTTTATTTAGTAAAATTAGGAATCTTTAGAAGGGATTTTCATAAACTATTTTAGTACTTTCATATGCATATGTGGATGATTTTATCCTATAAAAGTGTACTTAGAGTTAGCATTAACCTTCAGTTTATAAAATTTTTTCATTAACTATTTTGTCATTTTAGCCCACTTTAAATCAATCATCTTCGTTCGTTGGCTTTATTATTCATCTTCCTTTTATAATGTTATTTTTTCAAGTGTTTTCACTTTCATAACACTAGATTTCCTCAAGTCAAGCTCGGTTTCATACCGATTCAAATTAAATAAAAATTTAAATAGGCTTTAGATTATATTTATCTCCTCACAATTCAACTATCAACATAAAAATTTAAATTGGGTGTAGCCTATTCAAACAAACATCAAATAAATAAATAATCAAAGTGTAACCGAGGAACAAATTTTAGTAAGAGAATAAACCAAAAATACTTGATCAAAGTGAGCAAAAATTATCAAAGAGTAACCAAGGAGCAAAATTTAGTAAGAAAATAAACCAAAAATACCTAATCACAATATTTAACCACGTGTAGAAAATCTAGTTTGGTGAAAAAGCATCGATTCAATAGCAAACTAAGGCATCTTTTAGATTCAAAACATTTATGATCCGCAGGCTGATAAATGATATCTGTATCAAATGTTTAACCTTCTTTTTACCTCCTCAACCATCTGTCCCCTGGGAACTGCCTCCTCTTGGTTAGCTTCAATGTTCTTTAATTTTATGATGCCACTGTTTAGTTCTGACTCGCCCACAATCACTATCCAAGGGATGCCGGATTGCTTGGCCCGGCTGATATGAGTCATCACCCTCTTGGTAAGTCCAAATTCAGCTTTTATTTTTGCATCCCATAGTTCACTCACCAACTCTGCAGCCAAAGTGAGATCTTTCCCAAGAATAGCCACCAAAACTTGTGTTTCTGTTGCACGAGTTGCCTGCAAAAGACGAGAGAAATAGTAAAGCTTAATGTCCGAGACAAAGTAGTAGTATTAGCAAAAATAATCAAGAGGCATTAAACTACTGAATATCAAACACTTGCAACTCCTGTGAACCTGTTGCAGAAGAGAGAGAGATAGATGACAGAAGACAGAAGACGATTTTGGTAACATTTAAAAAAAAGTAATTAATTTCTTTTTCTCCAAAAGGAAGTACTTAGATAGGTTAAGAGTAGGTTAAGAGAGTCCTAAATATCCTGAAATAATCGTAATGTAGTTTCTGATATGTAGAAATTTCAAATTTCATGATTAGCTTTTCACGTCATGTCGCACAACTTCAAGCATGCTCTCTTTCTTTTCTTCCTCTTGATTTTTTTCCCTTGGGGCTACTAAACAAGTACGCCAGATTTTCTAAGGCCCCAAACCTAACCTCTTTAGTAGTCTTACATTATCACTAACATACTCAAAGTTGCTCACCACAATCTCCCGCAATATGGTGGGGATATATATGTAAAACTAAAATCAGCCCCATTGAAGATACCACAAACATAAACTGTAGAGTACATGTACACATGATTTTCCAAGAAATTATAGATAGAGGAAAGTTAATGGGATGTGATCAATAAAGGTAAAAGAGAATACCTGGTTTTTATCATTTTCAAGCTGCTCCATGATTGTAAATACTCGCTCAATTCCAAGGCTAACGCCAACTGCAGGGACCTGTTTTCCGCTAAACATCCCCACTAAATTGTCATAACGCCCTCCAGCTGCTATAGAACCAACCTAAATACATATGAGAAATTAGAGCATAAAATTACCTAGTACTGCTCACAAAAAATAAAAAAATAAAAGAATAACATTTTTGATGAATTTGAGCATATAAAACTTCGAGAACATGCATCAGTTGAAGAAATACAAAGGCAACTTGTGCTAATACATGTGTCAGTTCAACGAACTTGGCAGCTTAAGCTAACATACAGTAAGAACAGAAACATTTCAACAAACATCAGTGGAGCAAATGCAAAGGTACCTTGTACTAATACATGTGTCAGTTGAGCAAATGTAAAGCCAGATTGAGCTAATACACAGTAAGAAGGGAAACATAATAGTAGAACATACCTTGAGGGGCACGTTAAGTGCAAACAAAGAAACTATAGAAGAAGCATTCAGCAAAAAATTATACACACACACACATCAACTTCACTGTGTATTGCCGAAGATATTTCTCCTACTTTTTTCTCATTCCGCTTGCCTCCCTTTCCCCCTCTTTCCAAGGGTTTTTGTTCATCTATTGCACCAATCTTCTCAAGCACAATCTCTAACAATTGTTTTTAATTCATCTCTTCTACTTAAGTTACATATACTTTTTTCCCCCAGTAATTTACTCATATAGATGCTTCAGCTGCACTGTATTGAGAATTTGGTCACTAAATTATTTTTTTACTTAAGTTGTACATTGAGAAGTCATTCAATATTGCTGTTACTTCAAGTGGTTCTGCTGTAGTCAATTCTCATTTCATTTGCATCCCTTTATAAGTATCCATGTCTTCCATTTAAAAAAAAACATTTTCCCATTTTGCTCTTGAATTTTCTGACTTTTATCTTTATTCCTTAATTACATACATTGCACAAGTGAACTCTATAGCATGCACCTGCGAATAAGACTACACATCAGAGGAAGTATATTATGCCCACATACAGGTGCAAACCTCGAACATATACTGGATAAGTATGATACTATACAGACAGGGGACTAGGGTACAAATATGATATAGGTATGACAAATTTTACACACTTGCAGATTTAAACACAATGTGGATGCATTGTAAAATACAACTAAAATACAATTAGACGTGCATGTGGGTGGTAATGATCATCTACAAGACTATAACATGTGTTAAATGGATAGAATATCAAAAGAACATTAAATCTCAGACATTATAAAATACTTCTGAATTATATAATCGATAGCTACTTGAACAACGATATTCCTAAACTGGAAGTTCTTTATTATGAAAAGTAATAAACCATTGATTATAAACCAATCACCTGTGTAGAGCCTCTGAAAACTGCTTCAAATATAACTCCAGTATAATAATCAAGACCTCTTGCAAGGCTCAAATCAAAAACAACTTTGTCCAGACACCTTGATTTTTCAAGAGCTTTAAATAAAATCTCCAAGTCATTCAATGCAACAACGGATCCAGCGTTTTCCAAGAATTGACTATCCTTGCTTTTCAGTTCTGACAACACTTCAAGAGGCGGTCCTTTTTTCTGAACGAATAAGCCAATCTTTTCTGCTATTTCAACAGTCAATCCTTTGTCATTGACCTAGGTTGACATGAACTTTTAATGAGAAAGGGAAACATGAATCATCTCAAAAGAAATATAAATTATTTGTGTAACAAGTTAGAGAACTTAATTCAAACACTAAACCTATAGGTTAGCGCAATAAAATGCAGCACCATTCCACCGAAACAAATATGCGTTAACATTAAAACTATTGTCGAAGACATGACGAGTTTCTTTGAAGAAACAATCCAGCCTATAACAGTAACTGATCCTGGTAAACAAGAACTCTTTTTTAATCATTGGATCACTATTCATGAAATGGCTTCAGTTAAATTCCTAATTAAATACAGCGCAGGAAATAAAATGGTGTCACCTATATCTTGTGAAACATAAGGAAGAAATTTGAAGTGCTTGATAATATTCTACATATTCCTTGGATTACTATGCATGCACAACAAACTTTGGTAATATACCTATGAGATAAGCTGCAGAAATATCATGTGACTCGTATCTTGTGAAACAGAGTGAAAGAAACTTGAAGGGATTGATCGCATGTTTACAGAAATGCAGAAAATTAGAGAAGTTTAATTCATATTATCATGTCAAAAAGCATTCTTCTCCTTAAATGATGCTTCGATATGTAAACATCCTCAGACTGGAGGCACTATACATCTAACTGTAATGCAAACTCCCTAAAATACTGTGTACAGTAAAATTAAAAGATAGACAACTAACGTAACATAGCATATGTAGTTTACATTCCTTAATTAAGCACAAAATTATGCTTCTTACCAGTTCCTTTTTGATTTCTTGGAATGACTGCTTATCCAGTTTGTCAATACTAGAACATACTGTTCTGAATTTTTCAGAAGGTACGCCAGAAATCTCCAACATTCCGTCCAGTAACTTTCTATGGTTCAACTTTATCTGCAATAATAATAAAAAACTTGTGAACGATTCAGGAACAATCAGGCACTTGCATTTATACTGGATTGTAGCCAAAGTACATTAATGAAGTACTAAATAAAAGATCTTTTATCAACAAACTCATTGATTTGCAATGCATAAGAAACTGATATAATCTTCACGTTAAAGAAGACATAGTAATAAATAATGTAAAAGATCACCAAAAAGTTACCTCATAGTCACCAATGTTCAGATCATTCAGCAATTCTGTCAGAACTCTGATAACCTCAAAATCAGGTTCCATTATGTCATACTGACCGGCAATATCAAAGTCACATTGGTAAAATTCACGGAATCTCCCCTTTGATGGATTATCTCTTCTGTATACTTTAGCTATCTGGTATCTTTTTAATGCACTGATATTATTCATGGCAAGGTATCGTGCAAATGGAACAGTCAGGTCATATCGCAAAGAACAAAGTTCACCACCCTGCAAACAAGTCAAAAGGAGTATTATATACTTACAATCAGCACAATCTTCATATGATATATAAGAAAAATAAGAATAAACAACACAAATCACATATAGACAAACAAATTCAAAGCACATAATTACTAGCTCTCAATAGCAGTAGTTTTTTATTGGAGATTTTTTTAAAAGACCCTTCTTGAAAAATAATTAGCAAAATCAACCATTTTGTAAAATTATTAGCAAAATTGATTTCTTTTTTTAAAAAGAGGTCGACTTTGCAAAAATTCAGCTTTAAAATACACTGGACTAATAGTCCCGTGTATTTAATTCTCATTAATTAAACATTAGGCATTTCAATGCAAAGTACACGATATAGCCATATCAGATTAACTGTAATTAGCGACCACTAATTACACGGGACTACTAGGCCCATGTATTTTAAAGTCAGTATTTTGCAAAATCGACCTATTTTTGGTGACTTGGCCAAAAATATGTCGACTTTGCTGATATTTTCATAATAGGGTCGGTTTTGCTTATTATTATTCAAAAATAGTCTTTCGTAAAAAAAATCACCTTTTTGATTCTGCAGGAGTCCCATAATATATAGAATCAACTCCAAAGCGAAGCTCGTAGCATGGAAGCTAAATTAATTCTCTACAGATGAATCACAAGTTGTAAGTTGTAACATGTCACTCACACTAGTCCGACGTCTCCTTTTCAAATCGGTTCATTATATGCATTCTTGTGATGCATATAATGGCATTATTGGCGGGGGAGGGGGTGGATGAGCCTAAGATGTGTCTTGTATATTTTGTGTATTATGGAGTGCAGGTGAGCTCTTGTTACACACAAGGTTATACCAGGATAAAAAAAATAGTTCTATATTTAGACCAAGAATTTCTTTTTCTCCTACATTTAACTTTGCTCAATGTACCTATGTAATCATGCTGAACGTCCCTTGTCTTTCTATCCAACTTCTATACCTCTAGCAATGCAATTTCGACCATACCTGTGTGTGACCATGCAAGTGTACTGCATGCGTGTAGCTTGTTGGAACGAGGGGTTTTTATCAAATTACCATTTTATCCAATCATAAAGCTAGTACTAATTTCTAATAGATGAAACTAATCAATTAATTCCACAATATTTATAAAAGGGAATATGCATAGAGAATATATTATCATGAAATGAACATCAACAATCTGTAGTTTAAAAAATCAACTGAACAGAAAATATTGGTATGAGACTACAAGCATGGAAACATAAATTTAAGCTAATTAAAATTATATCACTAGTAGGAAGATCATAAGATGACATGAAGAAAAAGATAAATCCCGCATGCAACAATTAATCATAAAAACAAACATTGAGAGCTCATATTCCTAGTAAAACTGTGCAACAATTTCCGAGACATACCTGGTCAGCAAGGTCATATATCAACTTTGAATCTTCTCCGTATTTGCCCATAAGAGTCTCTCTAAGTTCAAAGACAGGAGTATCAAGACCAACTGCTCCATGCATCTTGAAAATGTTAACAATGATTGAAAATGCACGCTCCCTTATGGCCATTTTTTCTTTTGCAAAATCGCGGGTTCCCTATAAAAAGAGTGGTCTTCAGATCATGTGCATAAGGAAAAGCTTCAGTTTACTTTATTCAGCAGTCCACACTCTACAGTTAGCCTTGAAATGTTCTTTAAACTTTAAACTTGTGCTTACAAGACAATAATAACCTAAAAAGGTAGATGGTTTTCTACAAAAGCTTCAACAATGCAGAGAACAATTAAATTCCAGAAATCAACTATGCACTTTATTCCATCTTTCTTCTAAATACATGACTGAATCAGAATATGCAATATTTATCCAGGTATTAACAGTTGGGAAAGGCTACCCTAAAGATAGATAACAGGTATCTTCAGGTTGCAAGAGGGAGTGAAGGAGGGACAAGTCACATTGCATAAAATTTTCTAAGCATATGTTTGGATGGATAAAGCCAAAATCACAAAGCTCAATTTTCTAGATGCATAAGCTTCTATCATCTAATATCTTCAAAATTTAATGAACTTCAATCGGACATTTCTTTGTCCCTCAGTACGTAAAACAGAACATTTTCTCCACCAAATGCAACATTTGAAAAGAGGAATTTATGGAAAAATTACTTCTCTAAAGCCAAGAAAATTGTGAGAATTGAAATCTACAATATCTTAAGGATAATTCATGGTACTGGTGGCCATTGAACTACACGATGAACCCTAATTAAACTCAAGAGGGACGACACAAATCAGTGTGCATCAATGTTGACTTCTACGTTCAACTTTGATGACCACCAAGCACAAACAATTGCTCACACTCAAATTACCAGCATACTTACTTTTGGGATTTTTGGAAGTCTCCTGTTGTCATTGCTTTCAACCATCTCCTTCAGCTTAGTCAGCAGGGAATCAAGTCCACCGTCCTTGGGATCAAAATACAGCAAAAGCACCTGTGCCCACTCAACCAAAACAGCGACATTTTCGACGGATGCTTCATTTGTGCACATAAACCGGTCTTTGAGAAGCTGCCTGATAACAGAAGTCCCCCTCCCTAAAGTCTTCTTCTTTTTCTTCTCCTTCTTTCTATCACCCTTAAAATTTTCTCCATTTTGCTTGATGGTAGCGGGAGGACCAACTTGGGGTTTTTCAATTGACTCGTCAATGTCGAGCACAAACAAAGTCACTGCTGCCTCCCAAGCAAGAATCTCCCTAAACTTCACCAAAAGGTTGTACACAGAATGCAAAACTTCAACATATTCTTCCCCGGATGAAGCCTTTTCAGCAATCAATTGAAAATTCTCTCTTAACTTGTCAAAATTAGGACACCCCTTCTCAAAACTCTCCACCACCTTTGCTTGTACCTCCTGATCAATGATTGAACCAATAGCCATTCTTGCGCGACCTGAACTGCTTTCGCCCAGAGACAGGATAGACATTGCGAGAGGCAGCACAGAAGCAACAAATGCCTTCTCTCTACCACTGCTCCCAACTCCCGTTACCTTTCTAGGTTTAACAACAGCGTTCAATTCTACTCTGATTCTTGAATGCAAAGATCTAACCGCTTCTCTGAAGCTAGCATTAACAGTAGGAATCTCTGCAAACAATTCCGAATCAACCTTATCAGCAAGCTTCGACTCCGATAACAAAACCTTCATATCTGCCGCCACATCGGTCTCATCCTTGATCGAAAACCCATCACCTGACACCGACAAACTGAACACCTTCGAGTCAACCCTAGCTGCTTCACAAGTCAATGCCGCAACAGCATCACACAGCCTCACCAAAGATGAGGAACAGCAATCTAACACTGCACAGATCCCGACCGAAGCAGCAAAAGAACTCTCGATCACTCCAATTTCCTCGCTCGTCACTCCGACGTCATCGAGATTCCTGTTGTTCAATCGGCAGAGGGAGTCAACGAACCCAAACGACGACCCGAAATCCAGGGTTTCGTGCCCGCGCTGGAGGTTTAGGGTTTCTTCGATCAGGGTAGGGATACCGGGTCGGATGTAGGAATCTGAAAGGATGAGCTTGTTCAAGAGGACGACAAGGGCAGCGCGAGATTGCTCTAGGGTTAGGAATTTAGGGTTTGCTGATGAGGGGAAGTCACTTGGGGGAGATATTAGAGAAGGTTTCTTCGATTGAGAGAGCCTCTCTAAAGCGGAAGAGTCGATCTTGACCTTGGATAAGCCACGGGAGATCGAGTAGACTGAGAGAGGAGAGAGGGATGACGATTGTGACGACGGAGGACGCCATTGAAGCGGAGACTGCAGAGCTCGGAGCGGCTCAAAAAACGCGAGCGATGAGCTTCGAAACCCTAACAGAGGAGCGATTAATCCGGGCCTAGAAATAGACCGGCTTGGTTCACTGAGCCGGCTTTCCAATGCAGCAGTTGAGAAAAGCGACAAAATTCAATCATAAACTTTAATTATAAGAAATAAAAATGTAAAATTGATATTGTTTCCTTGTGGTGAACCATGTTTAGCTTAACAATTTAAAAAAACTAATATTAATAAAATATATAAAACATAAAAATGATATTAGTTTGTTAAGATAAAGAAATTACAAGTAGATAACATATTATAATACATGAAGTATTGCAAAAAAACCATAAAAAGTTTTAAAATTGCAGAAAAGACCCTGAAAAGTTCAAAATTATAAAACTCATCCAAATGTCTCAAAACTTAAAATAAAAAACATGAAATTAAAAAATTAACATCAGTTTGCAAAGAATTTAAAATTTACAGTTAACACCTCAATGTCTCAAAAATTATAGAAACACCCTCAAAAGTTTAAATTACAGACAAGCACATTAAAATTCTAAAATTTTAAAACTTACAAACAACACAGATGAATTCAAGAGATTACAAACAACACATTAAAATTTTTGACATTTAAATTTAAATTTTTTAATTAACACCCTCAATTATAGAAACACCTTCAAAAGTTCAAATTATAAAAAACCACCCTAAAATTCTAAAATTTATAAATAAAATAAGATGAATTCAAGATATTACCCTTAGACACCTAAAAATTAAAATTTTCCAAAATTAACCTCAAAATTTTTTAAAAACTCCTTCAAAATTTAAAAATCGTAAAAAAAACTCTAAATTTTCAAAATTTTTAACTAGCACACATCAAATTCGTCGATTGGTAGACCGCTGAAATTTAATATTTTTTAAAATTAATCTATAGTTTTAATAATTGCAAAAGACACTCTCAAAATTTTAGAGTTACAAGAAATATACTAACATTTAAAAAATTACCACCAACACATGAAACATAGAATTTACAACTACCAAACTTAAAAGTAAATTTTTTTAAAAACTCTTTCAAAATTTTAAAAATTATAAATCACACCCTCAAAGTTCAAAACCACAAAAATGGGCTAAAATTTTAAAACTTGGCAAAGAAAAGTGTAATTGTTTGGTATTTTTCATATATATATATATTAAAATTTCTAATTTAGGGATTTACTATCCATTTTCAGCATCTAAGAATAGTCTAAGTTGATACTGGTAAAAAAACAATAAGAATTGATTAAAAACATCCAGTTAATGGATAAATTTTTTAAAAATATTATAGATTAAAAATTATCGGCACTATATAAATTAAAGTAATTTCATATAATTTTAGTAATAAGTTGGGGTAGCCAAAATACATTCGTAACATTAATTGATAGATGTTTAAATCCATAGAAATGATAAAACACTATAATATTATACCTTAGCATTAATTGATTTTAATTTAGAAACTTTAATCTTTGACGTTAATAATATTTATAGGGTAAAAGAATACAAGGAATTACATATGGAGAAACTATTAGAATATTTAGAGATAACTTTAAAAGAATTGAGTTATTTCCATTGCAAATGGGAAAGTGATGGAAATAAATCTAAAATTCAGAAAACGTCAATGAATCACTTGAATTGGCATTAACATAAGACATATCTATTAATGAAGCACTGAATGAGTTACATTAAAAAATAATTTAATAACTTTATCCTAATCAAAGAAAAAATCTCCATGGAAGACATAAGAAAAATTAGTAAGTATTCATAAATTCCATACTGTGTTCTTCAAATTAAATATTAATATTATAATCTAAGAGAAATTGGTAATGAATAATGCAGGTATTTAGTTTAGATCTTTATGGAAAATGACAGGGATAGAGCAAAGGTAATATTATTGAAATAACAGAAATTCTTATTGGATGCACATCAGAAGAATTCATTTTAGAGGAAAATAAAGAGATAGCTTCTAATTTATTTAAGTAATAAATTAGGAACACAAAGAATTTTATATATATGAAATTAATATTTATTCTCATTGAAATAGAAAAAAAATCAAAGTCTATATTTTGAGCAGTTTGTGTTGAACATCATAAGTACATTTGACTTCTTTGTAAAGTTAAATGAGATGATAAAAAATTAACGAGCCTAGGAAAGATAATAGCATAAAAAATACAAAATTAGCCTGATGTCACAATTGATGTAGATGATGAAGACAATACTCTAGAATTGTCCGAGAAATGATAAATGATAAACCTGAAGAAGGATTGATCTTAACTCAATAAAAAATAAAATAGAAGAAATAAAAACAATATTTTATGAATATTTTATAGAATAGTTTAATTATTTTGAGTGAAATTAGGAATCTTTAGAAGGGAGTTTCATGAATTTTTTTCAGTACTTTTATATTCTTATGTGGATGTTTTTATCATATAAAAGTATACTAGAGTTAGCATTAATCTTTAACTTATATTTTTTTATGAAGTCTATCAATGATTAGGAATAAACTTCATATTCTCTTTTGCATCGTTTTAACATACTTTAAATCAATCATTTTGCCATATTGGTTTTAAATATTCACATTCCTTGTATAACACTATTTTAATATTTTTTACTTTGCAATGCTATACTTTCTCAAATAAAGCTTAGTTTCATATCGGTCAAAAATAATATTAAAATTCAAATTATTTTTAAATTATATTTGTTTTTTGTCAATTCAAATATCAACATGAAAATTTAAATTGGGTGTATCCCATTTAAACAAAGATAAAAAAATAATCGGGATGTAAGAGTTTAAAGAAAAAAATGAGCACAAACCGCCAAAAATACTTAATCATGATATTAAATCACGTGCATTGCACATGTGTAAAAACTAGTAATTAGAAACATATTAGTTCTAGAGGTGCTTCTTTTTAACTAAAATCTATCTATCTCAAATCATCGACTATATATCTTACAAACATAGGAGTACACTCCTCCCACTTTAGGGATTGCAAATACCCCAAAACGTTGCCGGAGTCATCGAGAGTTATCCCACCCACGGCCCAATTTATCTATCATGACAATGCAGTAAAACACCAAAATCAGAAATCTGTACAAAATTTTATAAATATATAAATTTATAGAATATACACAAAAGTTACAACAGTGCCAGCTTTGGATGACATACAATTTATCAGGTCAACTCTCCACCCTGCATCTTTTGAAACACAAAATCTACTGACGAGAAATCAAGATCAAAGCCCGAACTCTCTCCACCATACTGCAAGTACAAGTAGTCCTTAGGAGATAACAGAGGAGGTAGAAGTTGGCTCATCTCAGGTAGATCTGATGTTGGTGGTTGTTGTCTATGCATGTTCTTATTTTTCGACGAGTAGTAAACGTCAGCCAGAAGAAGCCAGATAAGATCCGGGTCAATGCAAGCAAGTCCAGACAATGCCTTTATCGAGGCATCACGGAGACCAACCACATTACTGCATGCAATCCCAACTACAAGACCAGCAACCTTCTTGAGTGCCGCTTCAATGGCTGGTGCACTTTTCGTATTAGAAGATAACTCCCCTATCATGTTTAAAATTGCAATTTGCATCTTTAGGCTGGAAGTTTCGGCAAATGCATCTTCTGAAGACTGAGCGCTCCTGTATGGAAGAAGTATTTGTTTATCACCTTTCGATGGCGTAGGTCTCCGAAATGGTGACGAGGCTAGCAGTTTCCAGATGACGGACCCATCACTATGGAACCGGCGGATGAAGAAACTTCCTCCTGATATTTGGACTGCTCTGCTAAGTACACTTATGCATCTAGTAATAACAGCCTGCAGAGATTTACGGATTGCTGTTATATTGTTTACTAAATTTTAAGAGCAAAGTCTTAGAACGTAATTATCATCTACGGAAACACCACCTAAGCCTTTCTCCACCTATCAAAATGGGGTCAGCTAAGGAAACCCCAATGCAAAATTAGGAAGGCGCCATGGAGAAGATGACAACATTTCTTCCATACTGGACACCTAACGTCAGACCTCGGAATTTGATGTCAAAATCCTTGATCAAATGATCATGGACATGAAATGGGAACTCAGTTGGCTGATTGGCTAGTCAGCTAACCCATTCTACTGTTTATGGAGTTTTAATCTCATGGAACCAAGGAGCAACCTTTCAAAAAAAAATTAGAAAGAACCTAAGGTGCGAGGATTATAAGTGTTGCATTAACACATGAGATATGATACAAACAGAAACGTGTCAACAAAGAGGTTCCCAAGTATGGCAAACAGATAAATAGATGCAAATGAATTACAACAGGATGCAATTTGGATTACAGAAGTCATATCTTTCTACTCTTCTCAGAATGTAATTACGGCAAAGAAATAAAGTTCACGTACCACTGAAACTTTATTTTTCATGCAGAGAATCAGATAAGGCCAGATCTTGTTCATTGCTGGGAGCAATCTGTTCTCATCGGCTTCACCATCTCCAATATCCATGTCCTCCTGGAGATCAGTGGATGAAGCTAACTGCATTGCTTTCTCAATTGCGATTTTGGTTTCTTTCTCATGTTTATAGCCTTCTTCGACTTTTGAAAGAGATATAGTAACATCCTAACAAAGCAAAATACAGTTAGAACGTTTCCAATAAAGTTAAAGACCAAAATACAATAATTTGGCTAAAAGTTAAAGAAGACAAAGCAAAGTGGAGTAAAAAGTTCATTAAACAATACAGCAGACCAGAAAAAGTTATAGGCCCTAAACAACTACTTGGAACCAACTCAAAAAGAGCTGAATCCAGTTGACAAATAGATGAAAATTTGTTCGTTTTCAGCATCTTGAATACGGATATGAAATCCATTTCACTTGGAGAAGCAAGATCAGCCTTCTACCATAGGAGTACATTACTTACAGGGTAAGGATACTATGCAAAGGAACAACATTGATGGTGAGGAGTCTGAGTAAACAAAATATTAGCCCAGACAAAGTTACAAGATGCTATATTAATCCTTTATCACAGAGCTAGTTGTACACTGTGAGCCATGTGATTGATAATAAATAACAAGTGAAGGCATAAATGAAGTGTAATTTACATGCATATTAACTATTGATTTCATTATGAATAGTTTAACTTAGAACAATTTTTCAAACCAGCCCCATTTTATTTTTTTATTTTTAAAATCGACCAATGTTTTTTTATTTACCAAAACCGACCCGTTTTTTGCCACGTCAACCTAATCACCATCCTAAATAGTCGGGGTCGGGGTTGCCAACCCCGACTATTTAGGAGTGCGTTAAACCCCAATTAGAAGCCTAAAACCCTAAAATTTTATGTCCTAAATAGTCGGAGTTGGCAACCCCGACTATTTAGGACGGTGATTAGGCTGACGTGGCAAAAAACGGGTCGGTTTTGGTAAATACAAAAAATCGGTCGATTTTAAAAATAAAAAAAATGAAATGGGGCTGTTTTGAAAAATTGTTCGTTTAACTTATTTTGAATGTTTGAAAATTAATTCTTCTCCCTCTTCAACCCCTCATCCTGCCTTCTTAAAATTGAATTTACATGCATGCATGAATTCTTTGTGAAAACTCAATCATTAAGTTCTATCATTGCAGAAGAAAAACTATATTCCAGAATAATACATAATTCAATGCGACAATACCTCTATTATATTTAGTGCTAGGAGGCAAGCTGATTCCTTCAAAGAAGAAAGCAAAGGTATTGAAGCCTTTAAACACGATCCAGTGAGAGATCCAACTATTCGTCGATACCTTCTCATCTCATTCAGCTGAAGTAATAATTCTTCTAAGTGCTCCAAATGAAGGTTAATGTTGTTTCTGCTGTCTGTTGCTTCTTTTAATTCCGTCAGAAAATAAAGCAAACAATCAGTCATCAACAAAATAGAACAATTAAATTATTTTGAAAACAGGGTCATTTTTTAAATAGGTGTAACATGATAAAACAGCAGAATATAACCACCCATGACACATTATTCAGAAAGCCATTTGAAAATCTTGTGTATCAATGTGATCAAAACAGTTATAGAATTGATCGAAGAAATAGCCACAAAAATACTAGCCAACACAAAGATAGAACCATAACGATCCATCATCACAGAGATAGCTTGATGCTATCATAAATTAGAATTCAGCAACCAAATTCCCTGATCATGAAAAGAGTACTGAATATGTAAGACATAACTATATCAACTAAAAAGCTAAATAGGAAAACCTAAACATAAGTTATGGAGAATATTAAGAGGGCAGCAATGTTGCATGGAAAGGGGTACAGGCTTTGGCACGATTGTGGTTATGGTTATGGGACACAAGTAAATACATACATTCATTGTAAATATGTACATATACAAAATTAATAATTTACATGAGATCACATCTTATGAGAACTAAAATGTCTATGAAATTTTTATCTTTCTTTTACTATCTATACAATATAAATTGGAAAAACTACTTGTTTTTGAACTAGATACCAAAACGATCCTCGAAAATCATAGTTCTGAGCTGCATATGGGCCGAAACAAACCCAATCCATGTCCGACGAGTTTTAGGAAGTGGATGTGCAGGACATACATCCAAGAATTGTATGACAAACATCTTAAATTAAAATAAATATTATATGATTGAGTACACGTCGGAATAAATGTATGCACATATCAAGGAGTGTCCAAGGATATGTTGATGGAGGTATGAGTACAGCACGCACCGCGTACGGTTACTGCTTCATGATAGAAGTACCCATGCAACAAGGCGGTCTACCTTAATAGTGAAAATAATTATCAGAACAAAAAATCCTGTCCAAGGTACCATGTACAGTTAGCTGGTCGGATGGCCAGCCTTTCTGGTATTGAAACTTAAGAAACCAACAATCAAATTTACCAATCTAGGGAAGAACAAAGAGGAAAAGGAAAATGTTTCATATGCCAAAAGAAAAACAAGCAGTGAAACCTAGATTTAACATTACTATGGACATTAAGAAGCAAAGTTAAGGTAGCTAGTAAAAATTGACAACAACAACATCCATGAATTTGTGCCAAGTCAGCAAGTGAAAAAACACACAGGACAGTAAGCTAGAAAGTAAATCAAACCTTCATTGTGTTGAGGTCTGTTGCTAAATTCCTAGCCAAGGCAAACCTAGAATGATAAAAGGCAATGGCTGGGTAGATTTACTCTTTCTGTTTCCACTTATCATTAACAAGAATAACAATTATAGTTGTAATAATAACTAACACCGATAGAATAAAAGTCTAAGTAAGGGGGAAATCTTCATCTACACTCGATGTATCATAAACTTCGCTTTACCAGAAATGTCGGTAATCTCCACTTTGACATATCCATAAAATGACTCAGCCTTCTGGGTCAGCTTGCAAGACTCTAACCTTGAAGCCTTGGTAATCTCATTTATGGCCTGAGAGAGAAAATAAGACACTGTGAAAAAAAAAGAAAACAAAGCACACAAACACAAAGAAAGGTAAAAGAATATGTATGTTGCAGTTTACAGACATTTTTCTTCAGTTTAACTAGTATTAGGAAATGTATTTGATTTTGCCTATGCGAAAAACAGGTGTTGAAGCTGAAAGTTCTCATGAGACAACCCCATCAGAATTCCAAACTCCTGTTGATTATGAAATACTGCATTTTTTATAATCTTACCATACTAGATACAATATATGATAAAATATTATTTAATTACAAATACCATATTGAAGAACTTGACCAGTTCATTCTAGCAACAAAGATGGTATATATAAGCTTTATGGTTTTCTCTTGGTGGATAATGCGAACAAGTTTTTTATTGAATGAATCGAAGGCAGGGCAGACTTTATGGATACCATGTAAGGCAAAATTGCAGAACTGGTGGATAACATGCAAAGACAGAAAGATTGAAAATTTCCCCACTTCATGCCCACCAAAGTTGGGCAAAGTAGTCAGAGGAGTGCCATGTAAGAAGCTTAGAACCGAAATGAAAGGTGTTTAAAGGTACATACAATATATTGTGAATCAATAACACCACACCTCTTTGATGCAAGAACTAGAAGTAATTGGTATTTACTCGTTGAAGTCGCCTGTTTGGTTGCTAAATTTCTATATGCCTTACTGCCTTTTATTTGGTCAAATGGCTTTCGAATGTTTTTTTCAATATTATATTTGTTTGAGAGGCTCTAGAAAACTTTCCCAAAGAAACCTCAAACTTTTCTACGGAATTATCATTACCTTTAGCATGCCAGCTGACCCAGAACAAAATTGGTTTTAGTAAGATGATTAGGGAAGGTGAATCCCACCACAGAACAAGAGGTCAACTTTCAGGAGATTCAGGGGACGAACTAGCCATGTCAAAATTGGAACCGTTTCCAAGAAATTACAAGCAACAAAACCATAAAAGTGCAGCTTTTACACACTTTAACCTTCATTCCAGTTCCAGCCTATGGTGCATGGACGCTAACATACAGAACATTCTTAAAAATAGACCCAGTATGCATGTCAACACAAAAGAACTTCACTATAGAAGTATAGCACTAGATAGCTTGCATTAACCAAACATCCCGCCTCCCGAGTCGACGTGGTGCCATCCGTTCTTTAAAAAAGTATCCTCTATATAACAGATGGCATTGCTGGTTTCAGTTGTAACTCAACAAACCCTGCGCTAAGTAACTGCACACAAAATCCTAAATGAAGAAATCCACATAAACTATTAACAGACTGAATTTGCCAGTCATAAATCAATTTTTCGTCAAAGGTCATCAACATCTAATCTAGAGCCAATGGAATAGGGACTTTGGAACAGGTTGCTTGACAACTAGATGGGCCTATGCAAAGGTGCTTCTATGCAGAAGTGCTTCTAATTAGTACATTTTATATCATTGTTATATCCCCGTTTATCTATATTTTTGTACTATTTAAATTGCTACTTGCATATTTTTGGTGTATCTACAGGAAAATTAGTTTTAAACAAAGAAGAGCCCAAAAGATGAAGAAGCCCATCGAAGCCTAAAACCCAAGTTCTAAAAAGAATCAATCAGGTCTCCAACAGGGAATCAAGAAGAAAAGGAAATATTTAATTACTTGGAGGCCAAGGAAAAGGAGACCAAGTCAAATTCGGATTCAAGATAGTTGACTGTAAAGAAAATGCAATATCTCTCAAACCGCACGTCGAAATCTAGCATATTGCAATTATATATGAAAATCATTTATCTCGATGAGATGGAGCTCTCTAGATTGGCAGATTCCTAAAATTCCATCAACATCATCCATATTTAGAAGAAATCCGAAATTAATCAGCCTTAGGTTATTTTTAGAAATAAATTTGAGCATTATTTGGATTAAGAAACAAATCCGGTTTGATCTCATTTGACATCATATATTCAATTACTTGAGACCAAGTTAAATCCTACGGTTGTGAAGGATCCCTATCCTACGGTTGTGAGCGATCCTTTTATAGTAAGTATGACCCTAGACCCCACTAGTTTTCATCAATTCTTCTAGTAATTCAATTGAAGGCTTGGCCATCTAAAAGGAAGACCGTCTGCATTGTGAAACTTCTTTCTGTAAGCTTTACTTGTTAATAAAAGTTTACTTCTTCTATTTAACCCTTGCAATAGTTTGTTCTTCTTTTATTTCATTTGCTTTTCTTTTATCATGCATGGCTAAATTAGTCTAGGTTGCTTAGGATGATGAAGCTAGGTTAGATTTTGTTGGTTCCTTCTTTTATGTTTAATTGTTTCATGTTTTAATTAGTCTAAGGTCTAAATAATATATAAAAATAACTAGACTTCTATATGTTATAGGTAGTTAATTTTGTCATAGCTTATGCTTAGTTAATTATTCCTAGGGTTATCTTTCAGTCAAGACTCAAGAATAATTATTCATAAATCTATAATTTACTATGTTTCACTTTAATAGGTTATTGGCAATTAACTTTGGCATAGCAAATACTATTTAGAGCTAAGTAAATAACATAAAAAAGAGGAAAATTAATACATATGAGTACTAATCAACCTAGTGAATTCTATCCTTAGTGGCTACATAGCTCCCCTCTTCACTGTTGTAAAGAAAGGTTTTTCACTCTCCATCCCTAGATGGGGCTCTGCAAAGGTTCTCTACTCTCCACCTTGAAATAAGGGCCAAGGTCTCAAAATGGAACACTAGTTATTGAAAGGTAGGTTCAGCTTTCGTTGCTAAAAGAAAAAAATATCTGGAATTCTGGAAACAAGTTATGCTCAATGGATGAAAGAAGATATTCATAAAACTGAAAGTTCACTACAAAGGCAGTTTCTAAGAAACTTGTTCTTGTTATTTAAAGATTAACAGAGAACTGATATATTAAGCTTCATGATAAGATATATCTGTTCGGAATTTTTTTTTTGGTGGGGGAGGGGGGTGGAGGGACAAAAAACTAACGATATTGCCTACGTCCATAGGAGAAAGGAGGGGTTCTTTTACTTTATTAAGAAGAAGAATTATAACATCTCTCACACTAGCATGCAAATCCTAACAAGAAATAAATCTCTCTTCTTCTCTCTACCTCCTTTGTTCGTTGTAATTCTAATGGAATTAATATACCGACCTGATGGAAGAACCCTTTAAATAAGATTCTAATTTAATACAACAAAATCTGTCAAAAGATACCCAAAATAGCCCCAACTAACAGCAGAATACGACACTGACCGCATTTGCTACCCATGGACAGCGTGCGATGGGCGCATACTGTCGAGTTTCGAGACTTGGGACGCATGCGTATACCACAATCGGTCAAATTGTTGTTGCCGCTCTTACTACTGCTATTGTTTCTTTTGCTTTTTATCTTCAAAGTCATTTTAATAATTCGTATTTTATTGGCAAATTAGAGTCAACATCAAAAATCTACACATTGCCTCAAATTTGCATGTCTTCCTTTCTTAGCTATCACGGCTCCACCTTATGCCGTGTATCATCCTCAAAATCATGAGTATCTAAATACTTTCACAGCCTCCACCAGAAGCTGCATGCTTTCCTCAAATCCATAAGTATACAATACACCTGCCATGACCTCCACCTAAGTGGTGTACCATCGCAGTCTCCACTTGAGACAGTGTTGTCATCATTGAGTGAGTGCCTGAATAAAGTCCCAAGGATGTCTTAAACTTCTTAGTAGTGACTAGCTTCGTCATGATATTCGCTGAATTCTTCTTTATATCAATCTTTACCATCTTGATATCTTTTCTTGCTTCCCACTCTAATTTTGTGAAACCGTATCTCAATGTGATTCGACTTTTAATGAAACACTTATCCATTACCAAATAAATGATGCTTTGACTGTCACAACATAACTCCATGGTAGCAACCTTGAACCTGAAATTACGAACCAATCCTTTCAACCATGAGGCCTTATTGGTTGCTTCAATCGCTACCATGTATATTGCTTTCGCTATTGAAAGTGCAATAGCATCTTTTAGCTACAATTTTCAACTTACAGGCCCATTTCCAACTGTGAATACGAAGCCAGTCATCAACATTCGATGACTAAGATCTCCTGCGGAGTCTGAATATACATAATCCTTCAACTCGCTCAGCTTCCCCTGCACCTTTTCGTATAATAGCTCGAGTTGTGTTGTACCCTTTAGATATCGCAATATCCACTTCACTAACTCCCACTGCAGCTTCCCTAGATTCTACATGTACCTGCTCATCAAACTCGCAGCATACGATAAGTTCGACTTTATGCACACTATAGCATACATGAGTGATCCCGTCGCACTTAAAATATGTGACCCGCCGCACCTGCAAATGGCACTCGATACATCTCTTCCTTCTCCTCTATATTCATACACATATATGATATTAGCCTGAAGTGACCGACAATAGGGGTGTGCTCATCGATTTCATCTTTCCTATGTTGAATCTTTCAATCAACTTTTCTATATTGGGATAATAATAGCTTTCCCACTTTCCTGTCTCGATGAATCTCCATCCTAAGGATCTTCTTGGCTTCAACAGTCCTCCATGTCAAACTCCTTGCTCAATCGAGCCTTCAAACTTTGTATCTCCTGCATACTCCTCGCTACAATCAACATGTCATCTATATACAACAATAAGTATACGAATGCTCCTTCGCCATATTTCCTGAAATAAACACAATTGTCATACTCACACTAAATGCATCTCGTTTATCCTTCCATAGTGTGACTAGATCTCGTCTGATTTAAGTGACTCTTGTCTCCTTTGTCATGGTAATCAACCACTTGTTGCTATCTTCGCTATCAAGTGTTTCCTCACAATTGCTTGGATAGCCACTTTTCGTAACAAGAGCAAATGCTATTTGTTCATCTTCGAAACCTTACATGACTGGTGCCTTATGGGTCCTCAATTGTTCTTGTGCTATAGAATACTTTGGCTAGGGTTAAATCTCCTCATCACCGTCTGTAACTATTTGCTCTCCCACAGCTACATCTTGTCCCAAGTTGCATCATCTGTGTCCATATCCTTAACTTGCTATGAGCATGTAATCTCTATCTGCACTGAATGCTCTTTAACTTATTCATGTTCAACATCTTTCTTTTGTGGTTCCCGTCCATCATCACCTAGCATGGACTCCTCATCAAAAGTGATATCTCCATTGACAAATGTGGTCTTGCTTTTCAAATCCCATAAATTGTATCCTTTGACACCCTTTTGAACCCTGATGAAGTAACATCTCATTGACTTTGCATCCAGTTTGCTCATGTTCCTATCCATCACAACGTAGGCATAGCACCCAAAAACTCTCAAGGAATCGTAGCTAACTAGCTCTCCCATCTAAACTTTATCTAAGGTCTGAGGATTGATGGCGATCGATAGTGAACAATTGACCAAATAGCACGCATGATTCATAGCTTCTGCTGAAAAGCCCCTCGGTAAATCTGACCATAATCTCATGCTCCTGGATCTTTCTAATACTGTTTGATTCATGCGCGCTCAGTTACCACGTGCTACTCTGGTCGCCCTAATACGTTCTATCAGCCAATGTATGCATGTTCAATACAGAATTGCTTGAACTTCTTCAAAGTGTATTTACACCACCTGTTTGGCCTCAAATACTTAATCTATCACCCTGTCTGCTTGTCCCGTCAACTCGTAGACCTTCGTTTTCAACTCATTGAACTTCTCGAATACCTGAGAATTATAAGTTAGAAAAAACCCATGCATTCCGTGAAAAGTGAAAAGTCGTCAATGAACGTGACGAAATATTCTGTACTGCCTTTGGAACTTATCAATGCAGGGCCCCACATGTTTGAATGAATATAGTCCAATAAGTCTTTTATCTTGTATAATGCTATTGTGAAGCTCACCTTATGTTGCTTTCCCATCATGCAGAACTTGTAAAACTATAGCTTGCACTTCTTAACATCTTTAAGCAATTTCTTTGCATTCAACACCCTAAGACCCCTTCCACTCATGTGGCCTAGACGCATGTGCCAAAGCTTTGAGGTTTCCTCCAACTGTTACTCAATTGCTCAAATCAAAGCTTCGTCGGTCACCGTGCTCTCAATCAACCTATACAGGTTTGCCCTTCTGTTGCCATAGAGATAGACCAGTACGCCCTTCATCACCTTTACTGTTGCGCCTTCCCCCTACCAACCTGCATTCCGCACTATCAAGTGCTCCTAGAGAAATCAGGTTCTTCAACTCCGGAAAATGTCGTACATTCGTTAGAGTTCTCACCATCCCATCGCATATCTTTACCTTGATATTGTGATGCTAACAATCTAGCAAGTTGAGTTGTTCCGCATAACAACTGCCGCACAATTGTAGTCCCCATAAGTTTCAAACCGCCCATGTGAGGGCACATATGATATGTGCACACAGAATCAATAATCCATATATCACAGTACGAGCACTTTCTAATAGATGCAATCAACATGTCGCGATCTTTCTCGTTCTCCTTTGTTTCGAAAGCTACACTAGCTTGATCCATCTCATTATAGCTCAGTGATCTTCCCTGTCACTCTAACCACTACTTATAGTTACTACAGTCCTTTATGCGCCCCATCTTCTTGCAGAAGAAACAACCTCTATCATCTTGAGTCGAAGCCTTGATTTGGATCCGTATTTTGGATCTATTTCCTCCTTGATTACTGCTTCCCCCTCTTTCCTTGACGATCAACCCGAATGAAGTAGTTTCATCAGTTACAAACTTCTTCATAATTTCATTGCTTAACTATTGAAGTTAGCTCAAATTTGCCACTGAAAGACAAGCTATTAAAATGGCTTTGAAGATGAAAAACAAAAGAAATAGCAGCAATAGCAAGAAGCGTAAGATATTAAAATGGCTTTGAAGATGAAAAGCAAAAGAAATAGCAGCAATAGCAAGAAGCGGCAATAACTTGACCGCATGCGGTAGGCGCACGTTCTCCAAGACTAGAAACACGACCACGTGCGCCCACCGCACATAGTCCACAAGTAGAGCGCCGACCATGTGTAGTAGGTGCGCATGGTCAATGGCGTATTCAACTGATAATTAGGCTGTTTCAGATATCTTTAAAGGCTTTGTAGTATCTGATTAAAATCCCATTTAAAAGGTCCTTCCATCAGGTCAGTGTTTTTAATCCTATCAACCAAAAGAGATAGAGAGTGAAGAAGAAAGATCTTTTCTTGTTAGGATTTGCAAGCCAATGTTGAAAGATCTTGTACTTATTCTCCTCAATAAAGTAAAAGAACCCCTCTCCTTGCTTTTATGACTGTCAGGCTAGTTTCTTTGAGATTGTTTCATTTAGTATTCGCTAATATTTTTTGCAGTAAACCCTAGAAGGTGTTCGATCTCTGATCAATTTCCAACAAATTGCTATTAGCGCGGAGGTCAATTCGCAACAAAGGACCGCATCCAAATCCTACAATTTAAGGCTTTTAGAATTCCCAGGGATAGCCGGTTGGAAGCACTTTTCTAGATTCATTTCAAGGAACCTAAGGCAGAAAGGATCCTCAAAGAATAGGAACGGGAAAACTCCAACCCTAGTTTCTGTTTACCTAAGATCATTTAGAACTTCAATGTCTCCCTTCTACTCATAACATTCCAATTTTTTATGCTATTATTAATTGATTGGTCATTCTAAAATATCTACAATATCCTCATTTGACTATTCTAGCGAAGCTTTCCTTCCCTAGCTATCACAAAAATAGAGTGAGGGTAAATTTCCAATCTTAAGAATTTATCTCCACATTGGAAAAAAGAATTTCATTTTCAAGTATGTTTTAATTAAAACATAACCTTAATGAAGATAGTCAAGAATATAAATAAGGCATAAACTTTAAAACAGATATTACCTTCTATAAAATAGAGTCAAATCAGGAAACTATAAAAACTCACCTAAGTGCAGTTACTTTGGTATAAAATAGAATCAAATCAGGAAACTATAAAAACTCACAAAAGTGCAGTTACTTTGGTATGCAAAGTGCGAGAACGAAACATAAAAACACGGCATAACTGGGATTTCAAGTGCAGCAGAGAAAGTAAAATTGAGGAATGCTTAAATGATGCATTTATGATAGATGCAAAAAATGTTTATCAGGATATATACGATCAATTTAATGAACCGGCATGCAAACCTTTCATAGATAGTGAAAAACAAATTTGTCATCGATGATTCNCCCCCCCCCCCCCCCCCCAAAAAAAAAAAAAAAAAAGTCATGGAAAAAGACCACAAAATTGATGATTAACATGTATCACATGTGGTTGGGGGAGAAAACACATGAAGATAGCTGTAACAGCAAGGCTACAGCCAAATAGCTAGACGTCTAGACAGCAATGGAAGTTTTAATATTTCAGTGTCAGTTATCAGTGATGAGGTATGGCTTGCAGAGAATCCAGGCTACAATTGACAATGAGATGCAATAGTTCTACTTCTACTAGAAGAAACAAATTTTTAAAGCATAACTTCAAGTAACCACCAAAGGATAAATATGCTTCTCTTATACAAAGAAATTCATACCAGAAGACAGTGGTGACATACTAGTGCTAGAGAGAAGAAAGATTAGAAATAACCTTTAGAAATGGGATTGTTAAGTGAGGGTGCTGGTGCCTACCAAGAACCTCCAGCTCCGAAGAAACAGCTTGCATCTGTGGCAGTTTCAAACATAAATTGATAAAACGAATCGTAAACTTGGATATAATTTTTAATTTACAGAGGCATTCAAGATCTAGCACAAACCAAAAATTACCAGAGCACATATATCTATTACAAAGGGAAAGAAAACTACAGGAACTATCGAGAAAAGGCAATATATGAAGTCCATAATCAGGAAAGTAAAAGAAATTAATCTGCTGAGGCAGTGAAATGAAGATAAAGTACTATATACATTGCAGGTATGCAGCAACAAAGATTTCATGACCAAGGATGAAGTAAAATATTCAAATTTGTAATGAAAATTTAATATAAAATAAAATGATGACTGTGATTTACTGTCATATAAACAATTGCCCTTATGCTATCTGTAAGTAACATAACCAATGTTACATTAAACGCTGGGCGCTCCTGGGCGCCGGACTTGGCGCCCAGCGCTTAGACGTCTAGGCGGGCGCCTAAGCGGTTTCTGGGCGGTTTTTTTCTTCTGGGCGGTTTTTTTTTTTAATTGTGATACTTGAAGATAAATATATATACTCAATCAACAATACATAAATACAAAAATACCAACACAACACATATGCTATCCAAAGTATAATAGTCAATCAAAGATGCATACATACTAAATGACAAGGCATATAATATCCAATAACTAGAAGTTTATTATCCTCACAAGTAATAAGAATCTATCAAACTTGAACCAATCAACACAGATTTTTCCTTTTTAAGACTTGAACCCAATAAAAATTATCAACACAGTTACACAAGCCTACAACATCAAATTAATGAGAACCCAAAACTTGAAGACGAGCTCGGAATAAAAAAAAAGGAAATTAAAATCGAAATAAAAAGGATTAGGGTTTTACGAAGCGAACTGTCAGCTAAAGACGAAGACGAAGACGAACTGTCGAAGACGAAGACGAAGACGAAGACGAGCTCGGTTGGAGACGAAGACGAGTCGAAGACGAAGACGAGCTCGGTCGGTCGGAAGTCGTCGAGTCGAAGGCGAGCTCGGTCCGAAGTCGTCGAGTCGAAGACGAGCTCGGCAGGTGAGATCGAAGACGAACTCGGTCGGAAGTCGTCGACGTCGAGTCGAAGACGAGTCGAAGACGAGTCGAAGACGAAGACGAGTCGAAGACGAGTCCGAAGTCGGTTGGAGACGAAGGTGAGATCGAAGATTAGGGTTTTTATTTTTGAGTTTGGGTTTTGGGTATTGGGTATCGGGTTTTGGGTTTTGGGTTAGGCTTTTTTTTTTAGGTTCGGGTTTTTGGGAGCGCCCAGCTCAAAATTTGGTTCGGGAAAAGTGGGGCGGGCCGCTTAAGCGGCCCGCTTATCCCTGGGCGGCCGCCTAGGCGCTCCCAGCGCCTAGACGTGGCCGCTCAGGGCTAGGCGACACGCTCTGGGCACCGCCTCCGCCTAGGCGGGCGCCTAGGCGGCCGCCCAGAGCGTGTTTTACAACACTGAACATAACATCAGGTTTCCTTGAAATATAGGACTAAGAATAGGCAAACCAAGGGCTGACATTTTAGGAAAATTACATGAGGGAGGGCTGACATTTGTTATTAGAAGGCAACTGAAAGTCTGAAATCTGCAACAATTCAGACACCAGAAATGCCTTACCGGATGTAAGAATGTTGCTTTCAGACCATCTAGAACTAGGAGAGATAAATGACCGCATCGAAACAAATACTGCAGTGTTCAAATTCGAATAATGTCCATTTTCGCATATTCGAATTTGTGTTCATATTCAAGTCGAATAGTCAAGGACCCTTCAAATTTGATTCAACAGCTATTATCAACATTAGAGAAGTATTTGTGAATATTCGTTTAACATCAGCTTCAAACCCCTAATCTCTACCTAAAACAAAATCTCACCGCGATGTGGCGCTCAATCAACCGAGAGATCTTGCAAGATAAAACGTCGGGAGGATGAGATCGACGGTGATGGGAAGAGGTTGGTGAGGAAGAGGACATCGGCGAGGAAGAGGACGTTGGCGTGGAGGGCATCGAGGGGGAAAGAGAGTCAGAGGAGATGAGTGTTGCCGACTTGCTGGAGGAGGAGAGAAACCCTAGGTCCATCTTGAGATTTGGGGGGTGGGGGATCCTAAAATTTGGAGGCGGAAATTGAAATGAGGAGAAACCCTAGATAAGTTAGTTATTTATATGAGGTGATATTTTGTAAATAAAAGTTTGGATGGATCATAGGTGATATTTGAAATAAATTTAACAAATAGGACTAAAATGTAAAAGGTTATCGAATAGTTAATAAACAATCGAATCGAATATATCTTTGGTTAAATTCTATTCATTTATAAGCCGAATACTAAAAATTATTCATTTAGTATTAAATGAACAACCAAGGTTATCGATAGCGGATAGCGTCGCGTAGCGGTAAGGCATCACTAAGGCTATTTGGGCTATTGCGGTAAAAATAACAGTAAAAAACACAAAGTCAAATAGCGGTCTAATTTAGATATGTATAAATACTAAAAAAAAGATTAAAGAAAATCTAAAAAAAATCTAAAAGTACATATTTTATGCTTTAAAGAGATCCTAAATATGAAATAGACATGTAACCATCACGTAATACTGGAGGAGGTCTTCGAGAAGAAGAGCTGAGCAGTGAGATGACTATCCTAAAAGGAGCTCACGGTGAAGGAGGTGAGAGGAAGTATTGAGGTAGGTGTCAGAGGCTATGAGAGGTGGCGGGAGTATGCCGAAAATCATAGGAGATGGTGGAATGCAATGGTTAAGGGTCAGGTTTAATTTTAAAAAAATAAACCTCAAACCGTTTTTAAATAGCAGTCAAAAAGCGGATTTCGCATGCAATCGCCCACTATTTACCGTTATGGCACACTATTGGCCGCTTTTGCGAACAGAAAGCGCATATTCCGCAATGTGTCACCGCTATTGTGCGATAGCGTAGCGGGAAGGGACCGCTAACGCTATTAGTGCCGCTATTGTGGGGCTATTTATCGCTATTTATACCAGTGTGAACAGCCGAATCGAATTTGACTGAATACCTAGACGAATAATACTTGAACTGTTTATTAATTATTTGGTTCACTTCCACCCCTATCTAGAACCAACGGTCCTTGTCCTTAAAAGCATTAATATATAATATATCATCCAAACTCGTTATTTTGACTGGGCCAACAGCAACCATGCCGTAACAAATTAGCCAACCCCTGCACTAGAATCGACAGCGTGATATAGTCTACCAACCAAATTTCTCAAACTGTAGAAGATTAAGAGAAAGACATTGGATAACATAAAAACCAAGCAGATGATCCTCAGCAAATTTGATAACTAATTTGTAATTATATTGATAAACAAATAAAAACATGGCATACCGGCTCTTCCAATAATGGTAGGATTTCATGAGCAGAACCAATGTAGGAAAGAATTGCAGCAAATACACCAGGAACATGGGGATTAAGATCCAAGTGTCGCAATTGCCGACATAGAGAATCAATAATATAGTCAGCATTTTCCACAACCAAATGTCCTACCTAGAACAAAAAATGCATTGAAGTCAACATATACACAGAATGAATAATAGAAATTAAAAGAAATAATTTCGTGGGCTTACGGAAGGATGGCCGGATGTACAAGCAAGCACCCGTAGGACAGCATCTGAAGCAATTCTTATTTGACAACTTGAACAGATAAGATTTTGAAGTAATAAATAAAGAGTAGAGTGCATAAATCCATTGGATACAAAATCTGGTCCAAGAACCATGCTGAAGATTCCTATCCCTTCTAAAATAACCTGAACGGGAGAAACCAGCAAACAATTGTTTAGTGTTGCCAATGCATTAAAAAACATATTTTCGATCTAGTTAATGCAAGATGTCTTAAATGTACACAGATAATGGGTTGAGTAAGGTCACGATATATTTCCTGGTGGAGCATAGTGATATCACGGAAAAAATGCAAGGACAATGACATTTCTGCGTCTTGCTGCAGCAAAGGTGAGCTTTGATCTGCTGGCAGATCCCACACTTCAGGAGAGAGATATTCATGCAAAATGCTTCCAATACAATGAATTATATGGTCCATAGCATCCTTCTTATTGTGAATTTTCCAAGTTGAATCATCACAAATAAATCTGGTTTGCCGATTTTCAACTTCTGCCTCAGACGTCCTGAATAGTTGTGAATATAAGTTGACTGATTGATCAGAGAGTCCATAAATTATCTCATTCAGCATGCAAACTGCAGAGCTTGTTTGCCTCAGCAGTTGTCCAGAACCACTTTGAGTATACCAAACTTGCCAAGCTTCTTTGTTATAATCCTTCATTCTCAGCTCCAAAACCAGCTTGCGCAAATATTCTAGAAGAATATCTGCAATAACTGATAAGGATACATCACTGATGTTCCCTGTCATAACCATATAGCAAAATATGTGAGCTGAGAGAAACACACACACACACAAACAGAGACACAGCACAGGTTAATCCATGAATCCGAATCTTCTACAGAATGGAGAAATAAGCAGGATATCTTCTTTGTAAGGAAAAAAGACTGCGAAACAAGCTACACTACTTGGACAAAATAACCAGCTAAAACACAAGATACCTGCCATTATAGATAAACCCGAAAGCCTCAGTATTCCGGCAACAGTCGTGTATAATTTCTCGCTACCAATATTTACAAACCAAGGGGGCATGTGAGGGAGCTCATAACCAGTGTCTGCATTATCTAGAAGATGTTGTGAGTCCTTATCTTCCGAAACAGACAGATCTGAGACAGGTCTTGCAACTGCTCCAATACCACAGCTTGCATCACCAGTGAGAACACCAGCTTTCAACTCAGCAACAGACAGTAAGTATCCAACAGAGAGTGGCTTAGATAAAATAAGTTTATCAACAGGACCAGAAAATTGTGAACTAGGACTCAGTGATAGCCTCAGGCACTCCAAGAAACGAGCAGCTTTTATCTGCAGATTTTTTTTATTATTATGTTAGCATCAAATATATCCTTAGACAGCATATGAGTAACTGAGTTTCAATGGACAAGATACTGTAAGTCTGTTTCTTGTGTAACACCAAGGTATGAAGGTTACAGTTGATCAGAATGAATACTTTCTTTTCTATGCATCAAGCATTATGGACAATCATAATTTTGCCTCACTCAAGAGGCAGTTGAAATCAATTCCAGACCGAACATCTTTCTTCTCCGTTGACTTTTCATTTTAATGCTAACAGGTACTTTAAATGCTTAAATGTCAAATGTACATTTAAATTTAACTTCCAACACAATCCACTAAATAATTTGTGACTGATGTAACTACATTATATTGCAAGCTTGGTAGTTGGTACTACCATTATGAATACTTTTTCCATCAAGCTGAAAGGGTTATGAATCAGACCATCTGTCCAGAGTTTATTTGAATGAAATAAAAAGTGGAATCAAGAACATAGGATGAAACAGGAATAAAAGTATCCACATGAATACTGCCAACATTTCATACTCTCTTTTCACACATTCAAAAGTTCCAAGATTTTGGGTTGTCATCAGTAAGTTTTGTTGAAACTGAAAGAGGTATATTTCATACCAAAACCCTAGTCAAATATAGTTCCATAGCCACAATCAGCACACTTTTCCAGTTTTGATCAGCGTGTTTAGCAAATAATTGGAAGGTAAAAGGGGAACAAATCTCAGTTATTATTTCAGCAATAAACAAGAAAAAAACCAACCAAATTCTTTTTTCTTTTTTCATAAACACATTGTAAATGACACGATACAAGAGTTTTAACTGATCTACTAACAGACAAGCTACTGACAGCTCAACAGAACTATGTCAAAAACACTGCCTCCCTGCACACAATCCAATAGAAAGTTACGGGAAATTTTTGACAGATTTTTCCATAGGTTGTGGATCAAATTCATCTAGAACATTATCCACATAATTAATTTATAAATATAAGTTCACGCTTACAGGTGAACAAAAAAGGTGGTCCACTACAAGCTGTGGACCAGCATAATACATGAACGCTAGTACTCTCCGAGCATGTGAGATGGCAGCTGTTTCCTCGCTTCCAAGTACGACCTTGGGAAGTCTCTCAATGAGGCTGTTTTTAAGCAAATAAATTAGATTGCTTCCAGTTATAAAGCAATTTTGGATTCCAAATAAAGTAAATAAGAAAAGACCTGGTAAACAAATGAGAAACCTCATTTTCTTTTAAGAACTTCTTGACTGACATGAATAGTGATTGAAGTGACTCATGTGCAGCTACAGAAACAACCA